AACCTGCTTCTTCAGTCTGTGGATTGTACTTTTGATCATTTTTTCACTACTTCAGTTACTGAAGTGATACATGCTCATCTCTTTTTCTGCCCCATGTGACTGTCTTCCTACTTTCTTTAAGAAACAGAAGGTATATGCTAAGTGAAGTAAGCCAGTCAGAGAGAGAGACAAATACCAGGTGATTTCACATTTATGTAGAATTTAATGAACAAAGAACAAACAAAATAGAAACAGACTCATAGACACAGAGAACAGACAGCTGTCAGAGGAGAGAGAGGTTGGGAGGCTGGGTAAAAAAGTAAAGGGACTGAGTAGTACAAATCGTTAGTTACAGAATAGCCACAGAGATGTAGATTGCAGCATAGGGACCATAGCCAGTAATATGGAGATGACTATGAATGGGGCCAGGTGGGTAGTTGAAGCAGTGGGGAGACCATTCTGTAAATTATATGATTGTCTAACCACCTTGCTGTCTATCTGAAACTAATACAGATTCATACTGAATGTAAACTGATTTAAAAAATCATAAAAAGAAAGCAGAATTATGGTAAAGATGTAGTACTTGGCCATAGAAAGTATTGACCAGCTATTTGCTATAGTTGAATAATATGCTGACTCAGAAATAAGACAATAATATTAGTAGCTAGCATTTACACAGACCTTAATACATGCTAGGCATTGTCTTAAGCTCTTTACACAAATTAATACATTTAATGTTCACAAAAGAAAATTTATGAAGTATTTAGTATTATGAGCATCATCCTTAGTTTAGAAAAAACTGAGGTCAATGCACTTAACCTCACAGAGCTAGAAGCCAGAGTCCTTGATTTTGAACTCAGGAAGTCTGACTCTTTAAAAGAAACTAAATGCTGGGGGCAGGGTGGGCAGTACATTTTGTTTACTTGTTTTGTTTTCAGCATGTCTTCAAGTGTTATTCATCTCTCATCTCCAAGTTATTTAACATGACAACCAGAAAATAATAAATTTGTCGTAAACTTTCAATAAATTACATACAGGGAAGAAGGTCCTTGATGTCAGGAGAAACTACTATGACATCTGACAAGCTTCAGCTGAGAGGTAGAGACGCTGGGATTCCAAAAGCTCTACCTTTGGTCGGACCTGTCTGATCCAGGGATACTGCCTTGAATTTCCTAAGGAACTGAATACATATATTCAAGTCATGGTAACCCCTACTCTGACTTCCTATGGCAAAATGAGGTAAAAACATGCACTTTGTTTTCTAAAAGCCAATAAATTCCTGGAGAACAATGCCAGCCCTTTGGAAGCTACTCAGTACAGGTTTGGACTGATTTGTAAATAAATGAATGACTCACCTCCACTGGTAAAAGACGCTAGCTTTTCAAAAAGCCCCACGTGGAATTGGTACTCTTGAACCCTGTCCTCACAGGAAGTCGTTTTTGTGATCAGAACACTCTTCAGCATTACCTCTGAGATGAGACACCTCATCTCATTTACCTCATTTCCCAAGGAAGAGCTAGAACATGATCAGGAAGACGAGTTGCTGGGGAGGGATCAGCTGCCAAGAAGATGGAGCACACACCTCAGGGTCTGGGAATGATCTCCACACAGTCAACACATGCTCGGAATCTGTCGGACTTGCGTCCCATATTGAAAAAGAATGTTTATTGAGAGACAAGTGTGCTAAGCACCCTCCAGTCCTAATATTTTCTGAGCTTTGCTCAAGAAGTGGGGAACAAAGTCATGCCCAGTCACCTAACTCCAAGAGGTTCTGACCCTCAACAAGCAAAAGCTCATGTGCTTTCCATCTGTGTCAAGGCAAGTATAGGAACTAGTTCTAGGCTATCCCCCAAACCACAGGAGGTCCCTCTGGGGAAGGCATGTTCATGCCTGCTGGCCACCAACACTCTACAGCTATTTACACACAACCTACACAGAAGCCGATTGTCACACTCGCCTACAAAATGACTTTGGAAGGTTTCTCTCAACTTTTCATAGACTATTAAGCTCAAAATATTGTTGGAGTCCTGTCAATTTCAACTTCCCATGTTACATATGATGAAACTAAGTCCCAGTGAAGGGGCAAAGCAAGCAGCTAGTTGGGCACCAAGCTGGGAGCAGCATCTTAGTCACCTAGTCACTTTTTATCACTATAAGAGGTACTTCCTGTCTCTACTCCATACCGCTTCCTTCTTTATTTACTCCCTCTTTTTTGTCTCATTTTATTACCAACTGAAATGGGGCCCAGCCACTTGGTAGGTGTCAGCCAAAAGAACATGCCAAGGAACTTTATTGCCAGCCAGCAAGCAAAGAGGACACTGGGAGTCATTCCCTGAGCAGTGTTTCCCCAAGAACAAAAGACCACATGGTATTACAGGGCTGTTGCTTACATCATAGCACACTAGGAATGTTTAGGGTGAGCATGCACAGTAAGTGGACATGACTAGACGTACATCACATGTACAGAAAACAGTGGATGTGCCCTGCCTTGGGTGGAGATTTTTGTATTATAATGAAGGTAATCAGGAAAGTTTGCACTAAACCCATTGAAGTGCCCTCTGGTCAATTTCAGCTGGTTTCCAGAGGTTTTCTAGCAGCTTTTTAAAAAATCTTTACCTTCTAGCCCTAAAGGAAAACATCTCAGGCAAGCATCCTTAGGAATCAATCAATCAAACAATCTCAGCAAATATTTAGGTAATTACATGGGCTTTCTCCTAGTTCTTAACCCTCCATACCAGGTGGGTAAGCCACAGTTTCATTCACATTTATCCACTTCTACCATCTTCTCTCTCCCCCTGCCCTGCCTCTTTCTTTCTTCCACACCATTGAGTAAAACAAGAATGACTATTGTAAATTGTGCTGCTATACAAGAATGAAATTACAGGAAGTCAGTTTATCCTGGGAGAAGATAGAGCAGAACTCCTAGCCTAGAAAGTCCCGGATGTGTCCCCATTGTTTTGGGGTTCAAAGGTGGATTCAAAAGAGCCTCACCACCCATAGTCAAATACCTCTGGTCTCTCCACCTGGGCTTTAACATTGGACATTGTTTTAATAACACCATTTCTTTTAAAACAAAGTGAGCTCAGGGACCTGAGAAAAAAAACTAACAGACATAGGTGACGACATTCTAAAACAAAATTAAAATATGTGCAATAACAATAATAACAGCTGTCTCATCTATTGCACACCTCTGGGTACTAGATGCTGTGTGAAACTCTTCCTACATATAATAGAATTCAATCCCCCCCACAAACTTATGAGAATACTTTCTGTTCACCCCATTTTATAGAATAAGAAAATTGCAGCACAGAGATAACAAGAATCTTGTGCAAGAATACTCAGCTTAGATATTTCTGGCTCCAAAGTTTATGTTATTTCCAGGATTATAAATAGCCCCCTGGCCAGCAAAACAAAACAAGTAAGGGTGTTTTAAAGAAATGAGTACCTATCTTTATAAGTCTATTTGGTACCCAACCAGGCACAGCTCCCCTGGGCAACCCTCCTTTCTTGCCCCCCACAAGCTTGCAACTAGATTGTTGTCTTCTAACCTCATTTATTCTAAAATTCCAAAGCTATCCTGAATTTACATATATCACTTCCAAATACCAAATGTACATATGTTGGATTTGTAAAACTCCCACACAGAAATTATCAAAACTACTGAAGGTTTCTGTAAATACCATAACACTTAGGCTAATTTAATGTAATTCTGAGAATTGTGTTTATTTTTTTTCATTCTACAGATGGAAAATTGAAAGCCCAAAGAAGTAAGGTAATTTGCATGATGTTGCATAGCGAACAAATGGTAGAACACAAACATGGCCCTAGGCCCATCTACCTCCAACATGCATTTTCTTTTTTTCTTTGATTCCCTATTTTAAAAAACAAAAACTTGTTTTTTCTAAATTATAAAATGTATTTATTTGTAGAAAATTTGAGAAAGACAATACAGACTAGAGAAAAAAATTTTTAATAACAATGAGAACTAATGCCAATATTTTAGAATTTTTTCTTCCAAGCAGAATATGATTGGCTAAGTTTTTACTTGTTATACTGCAAACATCAACCCATGCCCTTAAAATGTGTATGAAAAAGTTATTTTTAACACTGACATAATATTCAATAATACATTAAAAAATAAGTCTTTTTTATTGTTGGACATTTAGGCCGTTTCTAATTCTTAACATGTGTAAATCATACTGGAATAACACCCTGAGAACTTGGGCATTCTGATGATTTACTTAGGACTTATTTCTAAATATGAGAATGGTTTTATTTCTATTGTTTAATGCCCCCATTTTTACATTAATATCCCCCACCACCATGCTGTAATCTCTGCCGATGACTCATTTCTAAACCACTGTATCAAGTTGTTATTACTTCTAGACCTTAGGTTCAGAGAACCGAATGCCAAGAGTTGGGAAATTGCAATCAGGAAATCTGGATTTACTTCTGACTTTGTGACTTACCTTACCTGAGGTCTTCAGCCAGTGTTTTCTCACCTGGCAAATGGGACACTAACAGTACCTCCCTCAAAAGATTAATGTGAGGATTAAACCAGATAAAGTGTGACCTGGGCTTGGAAAATCATCATGTGTCCTAGTAAATGTCAGTCACTGTTACACTCAGGTTTGTTGGCAGATTTAGCCAGCTTTGAGAGAACTGGCTTACCAGTGATATGCTTTTTTGGTATTTACAAACCTTTTTTAAAAGAAAGTCTTTTAAAAATTTTTAAAGACCCTAGGGAGAAATAGGAGCTGTCGAAAACAGCATTTCCTAAGTCCACCATAGCTTCTTCTTCATAGCTGTCATCCTAGAGATTTTGAAAAATTCTACTCACATAGTCAATTAACAAATCTGAATGTTGCTATTCACAGGTGCGTCAGAGAGGTGAGAACCCCACCCAGCTTGAGCAGAGCAGGGAAGGTACGTGACAGAGCCTAGGCCCTCCTCCCTGGGGGTGGGCCACAACAGTGTGCCAGACTGCAATTGGCCACAACTCTTTACTTAGGGACTCAATGATGAAGGATGCTGCTAAGAGTCCTTCTGCAGGGAGAGGAGAAGTGAAGAGATAAAGGTGGTCCAGCCCCCATCAGGGCAGAAGAGATTCAGGACAGGCAGAAGTGAGAGGCTGGGAATGTGCTCACCATCAGGTTTGTGAAGAGATAGATAATTGGGCTAAAAAAGAAGTATTCTGTGCAGGCATCTTACTGCAATGGAATAAAAGGGGAAGAGGAGTTAGTTTATTGTCTAATCAGAGGTGAGAGTTAGAAGTTTCAGGAGTCAACCCAGAAATCTCAAGGGTTCGGTGATGATGAAGATTGAAAAAAAGCATGCAGGCAATGGAAGCCTTGTGGGAAAGAGTAAGGTCTACATAAGGGAGCAGCATCAGGCAAACCATGAACCAGCAGCAAATGGGGAAGCAGAAGGCTATGTAAAGCAGGTGGCAGATGGGAATGGTGGCGTGCCCAGAAAGAGCCTCAACTTGTACAGCTGGCAGGAGATCCAGAGACACAATCAGGAGGCCGACCAGTGGCTGGTGATCAACCGCAAGGTCTACGACGTTACTAGCTGGGCAGACCGCCATCCAGGTGGGCGCCGAGTCCTCAACCACTACGCTGGGGAAGACGCCACGGTAAGGAGCGGAAACCTCTGCCTTCTCTCTGTTCCAGCTGCTGGGTGGCTGGAGCCCTGGCTGTCTTCCCAAAAGCAAGTCAGTACGTGCTCAAGCCAGTGATTCATCTGTTAGGCATCTTAATAACAGTGATGAAAATCTTCAATTGCATAGGCTTTTAGGCTTCGCAGATCTCTTTTCCTTCCTTGTAGCTCATTCACTGTGACACAGGTACTACAAGCCACTTTTATGGGAGGGGAAATTAGAACCAGAGAGCATAACTAACTGGCCAAAGTGACCCCGCAGCAGAGCTTAGATTCAAAACCTTTACATTACTTAACTTCCAGTCTTTCCTTTTTTTTTTTTTTCACTGCTTCTCCTTATCACTCTCCCTCACCAAAACAGCAAAGGAAAAAATATACTGTGACATTTATTGGATGTCTAGAATACCTTGGACACATTTGAATGCATTGCTTCACTTAAACCTCACTTTGAGGAAGGTGGATATCATCCCCTTGTTAGTGATGTGAAAGTTAATGTTCAAAGAGGCAAATAATACACACAGACAGCAAGTAACATCGTCAAATTTTGAAATCAGATAGGTTTCTAACCTTTGTAGTTGAGTTCCTACAAATAACATTTCCATTTAACATCAAATAGGAAGGTTTCTCAAACTGTTAAATCATTTAAGAAGCCCATTCAAAATATCTTACAAGGAAGTTTGTTTTCTGCCAATTATAAATTTCATTGTTCACATTACATAGATGAAGAAATGAGATTAAAAACATTTGACTAACCCAAAATCAAACAGTTATTATGTGGAGCAGAAATTGAACCCCAGGCTTTTTTTCTTGTTTTTGTTGTTGTTTCACAATTTAGTATATAAATTCTCCAACTTGCTTCAAAGTGTAAAATTGAAAACATTATTTAACTAAGAATCACTCTATAAACAGTGCTAATAATAACAAAATATGCAAGTGTATGGCAAACTTGCAAAGTTAAGCAATATTTTATCTTCTGACACTATCAAAATATTTTTCCCCAATTCTCATTTTTTCCTCAATTTCTCATCTCCCTCCTCCAACCGGGTTCTTCTTCTTCCACCATCTTCCTATTTTGATTCTGCAGTCAGGTGAATACATTTCTGAACATACCTTGCTACTTCCCCTCCACTTCCATTAGACTTGATATTTTTTAAACAAAGATCAACTTTTCCTTGAGAAAATGAACATGTACTTGTAGTAAGGTGTGGGAGTATTCTGGTGTCAGGGAGATAGATGCTGGGTAGGAATTCAGATGGATGAGGATAGAAGAAGTGAGGTAGAAAGCATGTGTGCAAGAATAACAGAAGAAAGGGAATGAAAAATAAAATAAATACTACAGATCCCTATCTAGCCCATCCTCTCACTCTCACAACCCAGAATATGGATGATGCTTTCCTAACACAAGTCATAGGATTTAGCTCAGAGGATGTGTTGGCAATGTTGTGGGTCTCGGCCACCCTGAAAACAGAGAGACTAAGCTTGAGGCAGCTTGGGTGGTAAATTTGTAATTTTCTGATAGTTTTTACCTCCCAGAAGTCAGGAAAGACCATGATTCTGCATCCAGTTCTAGCCAATGAGGAGGAATTGATTAATAAAATAGAAACCATCAGAACCCTAGGGGAAAATATCCACCTCACCTTAGGATTCACATCCTGAGAATGAAAGTCCAGAGCACGGTCAGTCAGCATGTACCTTAGATGTTAGAAAAGGAAATCCAAACATTTTCAGAGAAAAGACTCTCCAAAGAAAGATGGCCCAAGAAAACTAGGAGGGTGTCAGGAAATTTCTGACAACTATAATACTTCATGCCTACTCAGAGTACAGAAAGTCTGGGCTTTGTGATCATTGTACAAACCTAGAAAAGCTATTGGGACACTCTGAGCCTCTGCTTCACCATCCGCAGAATGAGAATGACATTACCTATCTAACTGGTTTATGGTAAATGGGACTGATGCTCATAATGCGCTTTGGGTAATGCCAGACACTTTAATAAATTTTCATTCAATTGTAGCTATTACTATCCATATCTTCGACATAGCCTTAAAGATGTGATTATTACTTTCCATTTACCACCAGCTTAGAAATCCTGATTACATTTGATACCATCTGATTTAGATCAGGGGGTTCAAGATGGAGGGCACCATGGTCTCTAGGGAAAGAGGAAAGAACATAAAGTCAGAGGACTTGATGTCCAATACTTTACAACTTAAGAGGTCTTTGTAGGTTATGTCCTGAAAGGGAAATATGGACCCAAAATAGTCTCTTTGTGGGGGCTCTTTCCAACAGCTACACTGGTCCAGAAGGGTCACTCTTTTATTATTTACACAGTGACTCTTTTCCAAGCCTCCATCTTCCTCATCAAAGGTGAATATGAATACCTGAGTATCCATATTCATTCATTCATTTATTCATTCATTCATTCTTTTACTCTTTCATTTTTGTAGTCAGTCTTTCCAAAATCCTTCTTAGTGGTACAGCCCAGTGATTCAGAGTATAGGTTTCAGGACCAACCAAGTCTGCTTTGCCTTTGGATTCCACCACTGACTAGGAATGTCCTGAGGAAGCTGCTGAAGTTCTTGGAGCTTGGCTCCCTTGTCTGGAAAGTGGGGATAATAATACTTTCATATTAGCATTGTTGTGAAAGTCAGTGGAGATAAAGTAAAATGTTCCCTATGGTGTGTGGCACAGATTCACTACTCAAAAAATGGCAACTCTTCGGCTTTTTCATTTAGTTCTTTTAAGATAGATTATAAGTGTCTCCAAAAAAACTTTACCAAGAAAAATAAGTCCATAAAACAAAATTGGCACATCAACTACTGTTACTGCATATGTGAGTTACGTGGCTATTTTCAAACTATATAATTTAAAACTAATAGCACAGTACAGGTAACTAGAATCCAGATTCTGGTCTGCTCACCTGGAAAAGCTCATCTAGGAAAAGCTAGAAATAGCCTGTAAGTCCAAGAAGAACTAATTATACAGATCACACTTTATCTGTCTGTTTGTTTATTTTGTAATCATTAAGATGAGGATTACAAAGCATATGATAACAGGAAATGCATATGAACAAATAGCCAGAAGTTTTAAGACAACATTGTGTTTCAGGCTCCACCAAAAAAATAAGTGCAATCTTGTGGTACATGGGCATGTATGACATGTCCAGGACAAAGAGAGCAGGTGTTTCATCCTGTGTGTTGGTCATCCCACTCCTTATCTCTGGATACCTCATTCTGAGATAGACATTGAGAAACTCAAATTCTTTCCATGAGAGTCAAAGGGATTGATTACAGGGAAAGGATGACAAAAACTTAGAGGAAATACAGATGAGTCTATTTCAACTCTTTGGCAGACTGCAGTGTGGAAGAGAAGAGCACTCCCGGTGGCTTGGGATAAGCAGAGTCAACTGAGGTGAGACCAGGGCTGAGGGAAGAGCATGTGCACCAAGGTGGAGTACAGATATGACTCAGATCATGATTAAGAGCTCAGCCAGAATGGGCATCCCACACTTCCTTTGTCTTAGCACAGTAATGTCAGTGACTGTCATGGAATGAGAATGAGGAGAAAGAGGAAGAGGAGATCAATAAAGGGAAGAGATAAGAGAAGGAGGAAATGGAGAAATGGTCTTGATGCTGAGCTAAGGACTCTGCATTTGGCCCTCACTGTGTGTGTCTTCCTCTCCTTCCACTACACATAATCACACTTCTCTAGCACAGCATCCCCCCAACCCACAACCATGACAACAAAATCAAGCAGGGCCTTAAAGTTGTTGGTGAAAGGAGAGTAATAATCAGTAATAATTGCATCTTCTCTGGGTTGTCAAAATATCTTGAATAATCCAGTTCTCATTTAAATAATGGGTAGAGGAGTGGAGAGAGAAGTGGCTAAGTGATAAGTGAAATGGGGAAAAACTACCAGCCCCGCAGTTGTGTGAAGGAGGAGATTGAGAAAAGTTGATCAAAATGAAGGAAGGAGTCTGGGTAACATCCTGGAGACTTGAACAATGCATTGACAATAGGAATAAAAAAGGAGGAGATGAGTGTCATGGATATCTAGGACTGATAAGTAACTGGATAAGTAGCATGGATATCTAGGACTGATAAGTAAATAGAATGAAGGAGTCTAAACTGACTTACGGACATCTGGCTTAGATAAGCAGGTATGAAATTCATTATGGGACAGGGGAACCAGGAGGATGAGCAGGTTTGATGGGGAAGGTAGAGAGAAAAAATAGTTTTGGTTGGAACTCAGCTGAAAGTATCATAGAACAAATCTCAGTATAAGGAAGAGCTTTCAAATGATGAAAGTTCTCAAACAATAGAATGAGTTGCAGTGGAAAAAATAACCCTCTGCTTACCCCTGAGTGTGAAGAGGAATCTGTATGACTTTAGGTGACGTTTTCTACTCTAAAGTGGCTCTCTCCCAGGAAAGGGGCAAAAACTGCATTCCCCCTTCAAATCGGCCTGTTCAAAATATGAGGTGACAAGCTCCATAGTGTAATGGTTAGCACTCTGGACTCTGAAAATAGGAGGTGACATGTTCTAGCCATTGCTTTGCAGCAGATGAGATCTGAGTGAGAAGGGTGAGCAGAGAAGTTACCCAGAAGAGGTTAGAATGGGTGTCAGTGGATGGGTATTGACTATTCCAGTGAGCTTTTCTGAGGTGAGTAAAATGCAGATTCTAATTACTCTGTCTTGTGACTCATACATATACTTGCCATTTGTTTTTCCTTTTCTGAATTTTGGAAACTTTCAACCTACCTCAGACGAACTAAATAATATAAAAATGAGTCATTTATTGATGTCTGATTCCAAAGCCTAAGCTCTTACCTACTAGGCTAGATCCTCAATAGGTTTTGGAATGACTGAATAAATGAATAAAGGAATTAATGAGCCCATGGGGCAGACAAGGTGGTATTATTGTACACATTTAGAAAAAACAAAGCTTGATAAATTGAGTAATTTGACCAATATAAAACAGCCTGCTCCCCTGCCACCCTGCACTGTGTCTTAATCTGAATGAGGAAGGCACACTCTTTGGGTGTTGCAGCTGAAAAGTTGGCAAGCAGGAATGCCTGCTGGATTTCAGCCCACACACTCCCTCCTGGCTGGGTGCCTTCGTGCAGGGCACAACCTGGATCTGGTAGTGAAGCTGCAAAGGCAGGATTTTGTCTCAGACCTTATGTACTTTTCTCTTCCACTAAGAGTCCTGCTGCTTTTACAGTAAAGCACATCTCTTCATCTCCCAATAAAAAGCAGCAAAAAAAAATCAGGATTCCCAAGCTAGTTGTGAAAATGATATTTTTATGGTGTGACACTGTTTTGGAAACAATCAATTTTGAGCTAAGCTATGATAGAAATTTATAAATAGGTTAAGGAGTAGAGATGATGGCTGAGAAGAAAATCATGAAGGTAACATGAAAGGTCAGAAAATGAGATGCTGAGCATAGGTAGGAGACAATGATGCTAAAGATCTGTATCCTCTATGAGTTTGACACTCTGGTGAAAAACCCTATATTTATTTATTCATTCACCCTCTCCCTTGTTCACTAGGTATCCATGAACATATGCCATGCTTCAGGCATACTGACAGATGGCACGTGTAATGTAATCAACAGGGCATGGTCCCAGTCTTTAAAAAATTAGAAGACCACTAGAGAAGGGGTGAAGATGCAGATTCCTTATAACATAGTTTGAACAGTTCTAGAAATGAGTATCATGGAAGCCCAGAGGAGATCATGCATAACTTTCCTGGGTGGGTTAGGTCAGGCAATATTTCATCTATATTTTGAATGGTGAAGAAGAGCTTTTGTGTAGAGAAAATTGAAGGAGGGCAAAGGAAAGTGTGTACAAAGCTTCAGCACCATGAAGAAGCATCGAAAGTTTATTGAATCTGGAGAGATCCAGTGAATAAAATGGTGCAAAGCCAAGCCTCAGAAGGTAGGTTGAAACCCGAGGCAAAGTCATTCACATAATCACAACCTAAGGTGGGGAGACACCATTACTATCTGCTCAGTAAATATATACTGATCTTAGCAACATCCCCAAACAATCTGGTGTTGCTCCTTTCTTGAGAGGCCTTTAAAAAAATGATACATGTTAAAGCTGGAATAGACCTTTACACCTTCATGGCTTTAAAGTCACACAGCCCCAAGTTCAAATACTGATTCTACTATATACTGTGGCATTTGGGACAAGAAGTTTCTCCCCTCTGAGAAACAGAAACAATGGAACCTCACAGAACTAAAGTGATGATTACAAATTGGCCCATAAATCACCTTGTACATAGGATATGCTCAATAAATGCTGGCAGTATCCCTTCTCCCCTTCATTTTCTCCCCTTTCCTTCCTTCTGCAGAAACATACTTGCCCAAGAATGTTGATAGCAGAATTTGTTTCTGCAAGAGGGGATTTCAAAACTGACTCCATTTTCAGTCTCATAGGAAATTCTTCCAAATCAAATATTCTAAGACTATCTAAATTTTTCATTGCACTGTCCATAGATCCAATGAAGAGTTCCACAAACAGGGCAATGCCTACTATTCTAGAACCCTTTTTAGAAAGCCTGCAGTATCTTTTATCCCAGTAGTGACCTATGAAACTTGCTGGGGATCAGAAGAAACAATGAACCTGGAAGTCATTGTTAGCACACTGTTCCAGGACTCTGGATGGCTCCTTGGACTAAAATTGTAATAGCTTACCTTTCCTTTACCCCTGATCTTTATCAATCAGGATGCTTTCCATCCTAAGTTGCTCCCAAACAATAAGCAGGACGTGATTTTTCAATATGGATCATCCTGAAATACTTTAATCACCTTAATCATTGAATGACTCTCTTCCTGGTTTGGGAAACTAAGTTTCAGAATTGTCAAATGTGACAATTAAAAAACACCTTTGAAATCATACAGGTCAGCATTTTCCAAGGGGTCAGAGGAAGTGTGTAGATGCAGACAGTACTCAGGACAGTAGAGCCTGAGCTGGTTCTAGCAGATACAAATCTCTTCACGTCACTGAATCTAGGTTAAATAAGTCCAAAGAATTGGTATTGCGCCTTTCCAATTAATCTTACTCACTATATAAACACCTTCTTTTAAGTAGGCTCATGTGTAGTTCTTGGCTATATCCAAAGTTGCTTTACTATTTAAAGATGGAGAAGTTATCATATTCACTAGAATAATTCAGAGCTGGTACAACATTAGGCATTAGGCTACAGGAATGAAATCTCTGAATTGTCTTGCACAGAAGCTAGGTAGTAAGTCCTTATTGCTGGAGTTATACATATAAGAAAGATAACTAAAATATATTGAGAGTCAGGGTCTAATTAATTCACTCAATCTGATAATAACTTTATGAACTGAATAGCTACTGTCATCACCTTCACATTAGAAAAGAGAAGCACAACCAGGTCAAGAGACTTGCATACAATTACACAGCCAGGATTTAGATGTAGGATGGCTGCTCTGGCATCTACTTAATCAGTACTATGCAATGCCAGAACTCAGAGTAATGTGTATGGTGTCTGCGTATCCAAGTTACAGTCTCGGTTATACTTCTTAATTTTTTAATTATGCCCATCCCCAAAGCCATAATAGCAGAAAGTCCAGCATCTTCCTCTTGGAGGATCTCCCTTCCCCTAAAACTGTTTAAATCCCCAAGAGAAGAGAGTATCTTTCATTTCCAAATAAAGACAAGATATAGGAACCACTGCCACTGCTTGTAGCCACTTGGAATTTCTACTTGGGTAGGGATCTGAGATGGAAAAGTAGAGTTGGTTGACTCAGTCCTCTGCCTGGCTGTCACAAGCCCCTGCAGACACTGCTTTAGTGTTTTCTAGGAGAAGTGACTAACAGCCAAGAGTGTGATACTCCAGACAACCCAGAGCTCAATGGCTGTAGTCCCACACTCTCTTCTACATTTATCTTGAGCAACCATCATCAACTTTATTCTGTCTTTTTTTTTAATAATTTAATTCAAGGGCCTCATTCCCCTGGTCTTTTGCTAAGAACCCACAGGCAGACTTTGATAGGAGACATGGTCTGCATAGCCAGTCTTGGTTGCTGTATGCCTCAGAGAGTGTAAGCAACTCCCCGCCCCCCCAGGCATGATGTTGGACTTTAAAGATTTATCATGGCCCATAAACTTAAGCTGCTATTTCTTCTGGTTCTCGATAAAATAAATATTGGTATCTCTAGTTTGGGGGGATAACCTGACTGGATTGGACTTCCCTAGTGAATCAGTGCATTCAGTAGGTGGGTCTCCAGCTTTCATCGAGAATTTTCAAGGGTAATTTTGCTTGGTCAATTTGAAACATCAATTAGGATTTGGGGGCAAATTCTCCTAACAGAGTCTGTGCTGGCTCCCCAGATGGGCACAGAGTGAGGTCAGAAAGGGGACTAATCTGTGGATAAGCATGCCTCTTCTAAGCTTCTGACAATTCTCTGGTTTACAGGATGTCTTCAGAGCCATGCACCCTGAGCTTAACATTGCCCAACTGTACCTTAAGCCACTGCTCATCGGAGAGCTTGATCCAGAAGAGCCCAGCCACGAGAGAAACAAAAATGTGAGTGCAGTCGCAGGACTCAGGAATATGTGGATGTGAAGAAATTAAGCAAAAAGCCATATATGTATATATGACACATAGACACTGACAACAGTTTGGTGATAGAGGAAAGGGGGGTGGGGGTAAATAGATGTGGGCAAAGTGGGAATAAATGAGGATGGAAAGACACTTTGCTTTGGGTGGTGAGTGCATGATGCAGTGCCCTGATGATGTTTTGTTTATTGAGGTGTACACTTGAAACCTGTATGGTTTTATGAGCCAATTTCACTCCCAATAAATTCAATTAAAAATAAGTAAATAAAAATGGCAAAAGAAAAGAATATGTGTGTCAATGGGGCCCAGGTATATTTCAGGTCCAATTTATCATGTTTTGTGAGAAACCAGCATCATGCCTGGGTGGGCCTGCAGCAGCATGAATTGAGTGGATTTCACGTATCTACAAACAGTGTCATCTTATCACTTGGGATTCTGAAACCTCTGTGAAACAAATGAGCAGAATTTTGGCCCTGCGCCAAACAGTAATTCTATGCCTCTAAACACCTTCTTCCTGCCAGGCAATTTATACATATAATTTTTTCAGTGACTTCTTGTAATTATTTATTTAATGTCTGTGTCTGTGCTTTCTGGCAAACTTATTTCCATGACAGCAGAGATTGTCTCTATTGGGCTTATCCATGTGTCCTCAGGACTCATCTGCACAGTAGAAGCTTTGCAAATAGCTGATGAATGAAAGATATGACTATATTCTAACTACAGCCCTCTTGACATTTGGGAAAATTAGAGTCCAGGGACAATAAATTACTCCCTGAAAGCCCCACAACTGGTGTGTTGAAGAACTGGGACTCCAAGTTATTTCTCTGGTGCCAATCCTTCTGGTATTTCGAGGAATGACATCATCTTTCTCTCTATAAGACTTTGGCTGCCTGAACACTTTCCTCCAAAGGATGGGACCTCTATAAGATTCAACATTCACTAGGATGATTTTACATAAGGTTTAAAGAGATTTTAGCTAATATTAAGCATTTTGGTTTTTTGAATTTATTTTTAAACAACTTACATTTGTATAATTCTTCAAAAGTAATTTGTGCTGATTCATCTATCACCATGCTGATGATTCATCTGTCACCATGAGGCAAATAGAGTGAGGGTTATATTTCCACTTTAAGAAATGATGAAACAAACTCACAGAGGAAGAGGGAATCTGAGGATATAGAACCAGTTATGTGCAGACCAGAGACAAACAAAGCTCACCCCTTCTGTGGTGATGCTCTTCCTGCATGGCTGTGTGCCAGAAGCCCTGTGTTTGGAAGGGTGGACTCTGAGGCTGGAGAGCTTGGACTTACAACCCAGCCCTGCCACAAGTTGTGTGGGCTTAGGACAGTTACCAAACCACTCTGCTACTAATCTTCTCTCTCAGTAAAATAATAACAACAATAGAACCAACGTCATAAGATTTATTGGGAGACTATGAAAGAGTTAAAGGCACTTAAATGCTCACACCAGTATCCAGAACACAGTAAATGCTCAATAAAGTTTGTATTTTTATTATTGTTCAAGTTCAGTTGCCTCCATTAAATTTTAGATGTTACTGCTATCATGAACTCCCTGGGGGCACAAGTAATTGCCCAACCCCAGAGAAACCCATGTCATTTAGGGCAGGGGACCTGAGGTTAAAAAAAGGAAGATAGTGCAAACTTTAATTGTTTTTCTTAAAAATATTCTTTAAGGAAAAGAAAATCCCATTGATGGCTAAACGCTTTAAAATAATCATTTATTGTCTAAAAGAATGTTGGTCTCTGGAGGTAATGATCTACCATAAATTTTCTTTAGTATATCAATGTGAATATATGTAGATGTATTTACATATACATATGTATACAAAACTAAAAAAAAATTTATGGCCACCCCCAGAAATCAACACTCTTTTAGTCAATGAATGACTATATTATATTTATCTAGATATATATGTAGAAAATTAGTATTTGAACACAAAACTGGATGTCAGGAAACATGAGTTTAAGTCTAGCATCTGTCACTGACTCACTGACGATTTCAGACCAGTCACTCCTCTGGACTTTGATGACCTTGTCTCTGTACAATAAATGGGTGGGAAAACATGACCAGGCCATGAGCCACTCTAGAGATGACTTATTAAAAGTACCTATGGCCTCCAGAACTTTAAGGTTGATGGAAGCTTGAGAGATGAGCCCATCTGAACTCTTCCCAGTCAGTGGATTAATTAAAAGTTGCATCAGTGAATATTTAAATAAAATTTTTGACTTCTAGAATTATATTCACAGCTCTTCTCTTATTTCAAATTTCTCTCTTACATGTAAACAATCCTGTTCTCTTTCTTATACTCTGGTTGCTTTCTCATGGTCCTGTTTTCAACCCTGTTATAGTCATTAAGCTGAGAGAGAGTTCCTCCCAGTCCTTGCACTGACTTGCCAGTACAACATGACAAGCTTATGAACTGATGCTAGCCTTGTGCATACACACATATGCACATATGCTCAGTACATACGCACCAAACCAGGACCCCTCCAACCAGCAGATGCTCTAATGCCACCAGAGACTCTGTCTTGTTCCTGGGGATCCATTGAGTACAGCTTATAGAAATTTATACATTGAGCTAATCTAAGTGGCCTGTATTTGTTTATGTTCATCATCTTCTATGAGCCAGCCCTTTGTACAAGTAAACAACCAACAATGGCAACAATCGCTTTGTAAACTGTACCAGTTTTTATAGTAATACAGATCTGTATAGATAACAAAGTTCTCCAAAGTATAGCCAGAAATCAATACCTGAAAAAATAGCAGTGGTTTAAAACACAACTGTTGGACTTCTGTATATCTTTACTGACCATGACCACCCCTCAAAGAAATGACATAAAGTTTTGTAACAGTTTGAGGACAGCTGACAAATCACTACTCATCTTTCTCTTTTCTAGTGAAAAAAACTAATATTTTTCAAGTGTTTTGTTTGTTTGTTTTTTTGTTTTTAATCCCCCTTTTAAATTTCTTAATGCTAGTAAATTTTTATTCATAAAATTAAGGTGTTAATGTTAATAAAACAGATTATTAATTATGATCACTTGTGTACCCTTTCCCCTGAAAGAACTGATTTCTTCCTTGAATATTTCACAGTCCCAGTTGGTGGAAGACTTCCAAGAACTGCGGAGAACATTAGAGACAATGAACATGTTCAATGCCAACCTGGGGTTTTTTTTCCTCCACCTCATCCAGATCTTGATTTTGGAAGCCCTGGCTTGGCTAATGCTATGGTATTTTGGCAATGGCTGGCCAATTATTATATGTATTTCCTTTCTTCTTACAATTTCTCAGGTAAGCAGATATCCTAACCTCAGGCAATGGCTTTGGAGGAAGACTCAGAATTTCTTCTTCTTGCTTTAGGGTAGTGTCAGCTGCTGCTTGATACTTCTTGGCAAGCTACACATTGGTGTCTGACACCAGCAAGTTATCAAACCTTCCCAGACCCAAGTTCTTGACTGTAAAATGGAGATAACAAGTTTTATGGAAATATTTTGAGGAGGACTAAACAAGCTAATGTGTGAAACACCTAGCACAGTGACTGGCATAATGTACATATTCAATTTATGAAAGTTGCTACTCTTTGCCCAATTTTGTCCACAAGAGTTCAGTATCTGAAAGTTCTGTTTTTAGCCATCTAACACTAATTTTTATCTTTCATTTATTAACCAACCAACCAGCATGTATGAATACATTAGGCCATGAATTCTTTGCGAGCAGAAAATTCATCTGATATGAGAAAAAAATCTGAATTCCTCTATAAATGACAATCAGCACTTGGCACATAGATCTGACAAATCTTTGTTCAGTAAAGTGTGAGTCTCTGAATGTAGGCTTCTATGAGCACATCACTGTTGTGGACACAAAGGGAAATGCACCTGACTGCTGCCCTTGGGAAATGAGCAATCCAGTGAGGGAGATGATCATTCAAATATCCGAACATATGACATGACAGAATGACACTGATGCCAAGGAGAGGGACAAGCATGTGCTGTTAGGGCAGAAAAAGGTGTTTAATTTTGATTGGGACAATTGGGGAAGAGTTTGTGGAGAATTAACATCAGTGTTAATTCCAGAATTTTTTATATTGACTATCTTCTTTTTTTCTTATTGCTGTTCAAGTACAGTTTTCTACCTTCCCCCCACTTCTCCCCACCTTCCCCCAGCCCTTCCTGCTTCCCTCCCTCAGTTCCATGCCCCCTTGTTATTATCCATATATCCTTTATAATTGTTCCTGTAAACTCTTCACACTTTCCCCCCATTATCCCTTTCCCTCTCCCCTCTGATCACTATCAGCCTGTTCTCAATTTCAATGTCTTTTTCTATACTTTGCTTGCTTGTTCATTTTGTTGATTAGGTTCTTGTTAATGGTGAGATAATATGATATTTGTCTTTCACCACCTGGCTTATTTCACTTAGCATAGTGCTCTCCAGATCCATCTATGCTGCTATAAAGGGTAGGAGCTCCTTTCTTTCTGCTGCATAGAATTCCATTGTATAAATGTAACATAGTTTTTTGATCCATTCATTTACTGATGGGCACTTGGGTTGCTTTTGCCCTGGCAATTCCACTGCTAGAATTATATCCTAAGAACCCTGAAATGCCTATCCAAAAGAATCTATGCACCCCAATGTTCATAGCAGCACAATTTACAATATGTTAACTAGTTTCTTAAAAGACAACTTTCACTATTGCTTGAAAAGTGACTTTGGAAGCAAAAGAGGAAGCAAACATTTGTTTGGTACTTAGCATAAGCTGGGCAAGTTACATGCATTTACATCGCACAACAGCCTGAAAAGTAAAGTGTCATTATCCCTGCTTATCAGATGAAGAACTGAGGTTCAGAGCTATGGGTAACTCACAAAGAACAGTTTAGAATGCAAATCTGCCTGACTCCAAAGGCCATGATGTTTCTACTCTGGAACATTTTCACAGTGGCAAAGAGAGCACGGCATGCTGAGAGAACCACCTGCACAAAGACTGGGCAAGAATGCCACACTTGTGGGACATAGAAAGTACAGTTGGCTTGTGGTCAGACAAGATCTCCCACTGTTCCTCTCAAATGGGCTTGGAATCAACTAGTGGCCTCATTTTTCATTTCTTCTTGCCTTCCCATCTCCTCTAACAACTGCATCTCTTCTAGGCCCAGAGTTCATTTTTGCAGCATGATACAGGCCACCTTTCTATATTTAAGAAGTCCAAATGGAACCGCCTGATGCACAGATTTGTGATGTGTCATCTTAAGGTACATCTTCAGGGAGGATGATGGGATTGTCAAAGGTCATTTTCTAAGGCAGTGGTTCTTACCTGTGCATTTGTATCAGTAAGAATTGTTTGTGCATAGCCCACAGAGAAATGTAAATATACTAAAAATGTAACTGCTATATATATGCTCATATATAATATTATATTGTATATATTAATATTATACTTGTATATTATATAAATATATATTATATTTTAATATATTATAATATATATTAAAATTAAAATTTTAAAATTTTATGAGGAAAGGGTTTATTTTTATTTAAGAAGTTCTAACATTTTTTTTTACCCCTGTAAACTATTTGGCCTAATCCCTGATACCTTGTTAAGTAATTACCTCACAGAAGAATTGTACCTTTAAAAATTAAGATATGACCTGTAAAATCATGAAAGAGACTATTCTTAGGAGGGCTCCGACCATTTATTGTGAGGGATTTAGGGGGACCCAGCAAGACTGAGTAGCCCTGCAAGGGTGGGGCTGTGAAGAAATAAAGGAAAAGGGGCAGGAGAACAGGTAAAAGTGAAGAGAAAGGGGGAGAGTGTAAAGGGAGGCTCAAATGAATCTGTTCAAGAGCTAAAGGTTGCAAAACCCAGACTGCTGGAGAAAAGCAGGTGGGCAGAATTGCAGTTGCTTTTATCCCCATTAACAGAAGCTCCAGAAGGGCAGACAACAGTTTTCTATGCACCACTGCAATGTAGCACCTAACAGAGTGCCCAGCACATAGTAGGCCTTCAATAAGCATTTGTTGAATGAGTGAATAAGCCGACCAAGGGGTGCTAAGGATTACTTCTATTCCTAACTCTGATAATGTTCACTCTGTGACCTTGAGGAAGTCACATTCTATCTCTGGCCCTCAAGTGTTGTCATCTGTAATAGAAGTTAAACTGGACCTCTGCTTTTCTATGACATTCTAGGATTTGATGACTATACACCCTGGTCCAACAGAATATGAAATGCCTCTGAGCCTTCCACTAAGCCAAATCTTTACGCTCAAGCCAGGTCCTCTTAGGAAAAACTCTTGAGCACTAGCTCAGAGCCTAACTGCTTTTTCTTACTGAAGTAATTATATATTGACTTGGAAGATACTGGGTTAGAATCACCATCTAAATCTAATCCTACTTGCTTTCAGTTGAGTAAACTGAAGCTTAAATATATTAAAATAACAGACAGTTGGATCAGGATTCATATTAGAAACATGTCCTCCAAATGGTTAGAATAAATAATGACATTTTACATGACAAGTTTAACAAGCAAATTCCTGTAAGCATACTCTTCTGCCCTTTATCCACAAAGGTTACCTGAAGTGTTTTTAAATTCACTAAGAAATCTTCAACACAGAAATAAGGAAGCAGTGGTTTCTTACAACAATGTGAGAGTCAGATGATGGGCCCTGTCACTCCCCCTACTCTGAGGAAGTCAGAGGAAAAGTCATCTGCTCTAGAGATGAGTGGCAATTTATTCGGTGCCAGTGTGTGGAATATTTCAAATCAGCCCTACCTTTGCTGGTACTTTTTTAAAAACTACTGCTTTCCCATTGGTCCAAATTTGTAAAGAGCTTTCTTGCTATAAATTGTGTCTCCAGAAATAATTTTTTAAGTTAGATAAATGATAGATAATGATGATGATAGATGATAGATAGATAGATACATAGATAGATAGATAGATAGATGATAGATAGATAGATAGATAGATAGATAGATAGATGATAGATATAGATAGATAGATTTTAGAGAAAGAGGAAGGGAGAGAGAGAGAAAGGAGGAAAGAGAGAGAGGAACATTGATGTGAGAGAGGAACATCGATCGGTTCCCTCCAATATGCGTCCCAACCAGGGATGAACCTACCAATGTGCCCTGAGAATCAAACCCACAACCTTTTGGGGTATGGGACAATACTCTGAGCAACTGAGCCACACTGGCCTGGGCCAGAAACAATTTTGAATATAATCTTGATGACTTCTGACCAGAGTAAATAAATAGGAAATGTCTGTAAAAGCAAATCAAGTGCACTCTGTCCCTTTGCAAGCAAAACTAGCAATTCATGAGCAAAATTAATATACCAAAAGCTTCAACTATGTGCAGGAGAGACAGTTTCCTGTAGGGAAGTAAAGTGGGTGGGAGGGAGGTAATAAAGAAAATTATCCTATAAACAGCAAACATCTCCACCTTGTACGTGCATGACAATTTTAAACTTCATAACTTGATTTCACATTAATTTACACTCCTCTCCACCAGGAAAAGGCACAGATATGAACAAATATTGAGATTCTTTGGAATTTTAATCCACTAACTATGCAAAAACATATGCATTCTTGTTTTTGCAATGTCCACATAAGAAAAGAGCCCTTTTGAAAATAAACCATGAAATGTCTACATACATTTTTGACTACTCTGCGATTTGAAAATCAAAATGGATTCCCTGTAGCCTATTTTCTACCCACTTCCTCCAGTGTGCGTAATTTTGTAAACTATAAGCATCAAATGTTATTATAGGGATAAAGAAGGAGAATAGTTGAAATTAAGACCCTCTTTAAAAATGTGGCCTATATTGTTTCCATGACTACATCTTAAAACAGCTTGGGTGCAGGAAGAGTGTAAAGCCTGTTATTTCCTGTAATCCCTCTAGTAACCACAAGCATTTTACAGATAAGGAAATTGGCCAAGGCCACACCCGAGTGACAGATCTTTACATCGATGATGGTTTCAGTCCAAACCTGGATGCTGCCCTAAGAAAGAACCTAGTGTGGAAATGAGGAATGATTTAGGGTGATTTCTATATGGAACTTGGTACAGGGTAGCCTGTTTTTGCAGGTACTTGATAATCCTCACTACCCCATGGGTCACTCTCTCCCTTGTCTCTGGTGGTTGTGGCTTCCAAACAGAGGATCCAGGGTGCAGCCAGCTGCATTAGATCACACCCTGACCACTCTAACCACTGTTCTAAGGTCCTTGACCTTGAGCAAATGCTCTCTGACCTTCATGAATCAAAACCTGTCTCTTATATTACCAATTCCCAGAGACAGTCATTGGTTGAAGGGTATAGTCAGGTAGTAGATGAGGCCAAGATATTGGTTCCCAGAGGATTAATTGAAAAAGAGAACCATTGTTTATCATAGTGTCCTTGTTTAGTTGTCTATTGCTCCCAATAGATTAAGTTCCAGGAATGTGAGAATGCCATTTTATCATGTCTATCTCTATATGCCAAATACTGCCTAGGTCAATATCTGACACACAGCACATATTTCAAAGTAAATAAAGAATGCGTGAATAAATGAGTGGATACACAATTATAAGAGTGATTGGATGGTATTTGACAGGAGAAATGCAGTCCATTACAACCCCAGAAGGAAGACTATAAATTGATGAGTCCATGTTATGTTTTGATGTCATGAGACATCCAAAAGGAAATGTTGAAAAGTGATATCGCCCATTTAAACATGACATTCAAGAGAGAGAGCTGGACTAGAGAGAGAGAGAGAGAGAGAGAGAGTCCACTGGAAGGACACGGGGGTAGGGGGCAGTATTAGAAGTAAGAAGACTGCTCCTGATGAACTGAGGGTTTAGGGAAGGTTGCTAAGAGAAAACTGCAACAAAGACTATGGGAAGGCAGTGTTAACACAGGTTTTTCAAACAAACCCATCTCCTGTACCATACATGTATAGTGTGTAGACCAACATAGTACATAGAAATAGAATGAAAGTCACATTAAAGTGTCATAAGTCATTATAAATCTTTTAGTAGCTACATTTTGAAAGGTAACTTCATTACTTTATATATTCAAATACCATCATTTTAACAAGAAATCAGTTTAAAAATACTAAGATATTTTTACTTGTTTTTTAATCTTGAATCTTCAAAATTCAGCTCATCTTAATTTGGTCACATTTCCAGTGATCAATAGACACATGTGACTATGGTTACCATATTGCACAATAAAGATCTAAAACGCATATAGACAGTGATTGAGAGATGTCAAATACACAACAAAAACTTACTGCTGCTTATTCTTCTGTAAATGATTAACACCATAAGGGAAGGAGAGGATATTAACTATCTCCATATGCCAACATTTTGCATACAACATCTCATATCTTCCCAAATGGAGGGGAAGTAAATATCATTATACTATATATACTAGAGATGAAATTGAGCTTTAAAGAGGATGGGTAATCTGTCCAAACCACACAGAAACATTTACTCATCTGATATATGAAACTAGGTTGGTGTGCCTGTAAATTCTTTGCCCTGTTAAGCCCTTAAGACTTTAATTAAGAGAGATAAAATCACAAACAACCTTCTAATCAGGGATGATTCGAGCATGGGATTGGCTAAAATATTTTTATATTATTTTAAAGAGAGAAAGAAAGGGCATCAGAGAGAGAGAGAAACATTTATTTTTTTGTTTCTCTTATTTATGCATTTGTTGGTTGATTCTTTTATGTGCTCTGACTGGGGACAAAACTCACAACCTTGGCTTATCTCTAACCAACTAAGCTATGTGGCCAAGACTAAAATATTTTTATTATCATTTATTTTTATATGAGAGCACTGAAGGCTGGACATACAATGATCTGAGCCAAGCTCCTCTAGGAGATCCCTTCAGATCCATGATTCTTTGAACTATTCATTGAAGTAGGATTCCTGGGGCCATCCCCCACCTAAGAACTAATTAAAATCTTAAAGCTGAGGTTTCTTTTTTTGAAAAAATAGAAAAAATACTCTCCTCCCCATCTACCTCCAGAATTTTTTAAAAGATAAGAATCAAAAAGGAAAGGTGGAAAAATATTTAATTTCAACGGGTTCTTATTATCAGGAATTGTTGGAGCCTGAACTTATGTTCCTGAATCTCATAATTATTGGTTCCTAGGCTTTGAGAGCTGCTGTCCAGTGAATAGCTCTGTGGCTCAGCAGTGGGTGCAAGTTTGAGAAAGTCAGATGTCTTATTTTGACTTGGGAGATGCATGTAGCAAACTCTCATCATGGAGGATATTTCAGAAGAGGAACCTCACCACAGCTAATGAACTCCCTCTTCTCCTCAGGGCCTGTCAGCAAACTGGTGGAATTACCGACACTTTCAGCATCACGTAAAACCAAATATTTACCCAAAAGATCCGGATATTGATACGGGCCCACTTTTCCTCCTTGGAGATTTGCAACCTGTCAAGGTGCGTTTAAAAATCCTGACCACTAGAAGTTCTTAGAAGTGGTTCTTAGGAAGGACTATTGCCTCATCTTGGAAAGATCAAACTGGAGCTCTCAGCATTATGCATGTCCTCAGAACATCTCTCTTTTTTAGGTCCAGAATATAGATTTGAAATAACTTAATCTGGGGTTCTAAAATGAGAAGAAGTGGAGTGCATGAGTCTTTGTCCTAAAGAGTTATTCAATATAACCTCCTAGCATAAGAAATATAACCCATATCACTTTGCTTGACCAGCCCTGGTGACAAGCAGATACCTGCATAGTTTCTGCCACTGGCTCTGAGGCTCTGCTAACGTTAGATAGTAAAACTAGGTGTCTGAGATTGGAAAGGACTACAAAGACATGGAGACATCCACTCAAGGAAGACAGGTCAGTACGTTCAATATGCACTAAAGCACAAATATCTAAGTCTAGTTAGTTCAGCTAATTCTAGCTCAGTTAGAAGAGACTGTGCTGCTATTTGTAGTTCATGTGCATCTGGGTTCATTTCTACATAAATCACAACCCAAATGCTTCTTAGACACTTCGAGATCCTACCCCTAATTCGTACTTCTTAAATGACAGTAAAAGGAAGGGAAAAGTCAGCTTCAGAATTTCTCCCTTGTTGTAAAGGATGAGCACCAAGTTTCTTAGGAGGAAGTCTTCTTTCAACAGAGGAGGTCTAAAGTCAGGTACTTAGGAAGAAGCCACTATCTTCTTCTAGAAGTATTTAGGAGGTTTATAAAAATAAGACTGTAGTTTTGCCAGTTGCTTCCTGGGCCTTGTAGTACATAAACCAAAAATTGTGCAACTCTTTGAAAATAGGCTTTCCCAGCTTTGGGAAACTACTCTTCTCTGACTAGATTAGGAAACAAATTCTTTTGCCTAGATTTTGAAAAACAAAATTCTTAGCTGTGACAGTGAAGCATTTGCTTTTGACCATGGCTCCACCAACAAACTGGACTTCTCTGATGTTTGTGAACTTCACGCTCATCACTAAAATTGTGACACTTGATTTCTCTAATTATTCCCCTGACAAAGCAAAATTTGTCTCAATGAAGTTCATGAAGCAGCTTGACCTTCTCCAGAAGTACCTTCTCTAAAGCTTTACAAATGATGGAGGACATCTCTCCAACTTTCACAGCTGCTCTTGGGACCTATCCTTTGGGATCTATATACATAGTTTCAAAGCTAGTGCACAAAAAATTACTTAAAATCATTTAAACCCTAAAATTCAGTTGTTTCACATTTAAAGTAGTTTCGATAAGTCCTGAATATTTCCTTTCTTTCATTAACCCTTCTATAACTGTAAATTGATATTATTACCTCATCATTATGATATTTCTTTTTATTTGTGATAATACAAGATGGAAGGATCAATTCTACCCTCCTAATAAGGGAGTATTATCGATCCTGCCCTCCCATACTTACATAGGTGGGAAGTATTAAAGGAATGGGGAAAGCAAGAGTCAAGCACTGTCTATACGGTGTCAAACTCATTTTCACCAGGGGCCACATCAGCCTCACAGTTGCCTTCAAAGGGCTGAGTGTAATTTCAGGGCTGTATAAATGTAACTACTCCTTAACTAAAGGCAAGTAGCTTGGCGCTGCCACCAGGTAGAAACAAGGTGCTGGGCCAAATAAAACAAGGTGGAAGGCCGGATTCAGCCCACAGGCCTTGTGTTTGCCATTGTGGCCTATAGTGTAACTGAATGAATATACAGCAAAAATATAGACTGGGATGTGAATTACCATTAATGTATTCATTTCTCCAGTTAAATATTTATTGATTGCTAGTTACTGGAGATATAACCATTACTGCTATGCCTGTTCTCAAGGTATTTACTGTCTTCCTACACTTAGGGAGAACAAATTAAATTAATGAAGGAGACCCCTAGAAAAATAACCAAATGCTCAGTACTGAGACCATATAAATATCACTGTACTTTACAAATAGTAAATTGCAGCATGAGACCCATGATCAGAATACAAATGAGGAAAGATAAGAGAGATAGGAGGTGCCATGCCTATATCTGTAATCACATGACCACTCAATAAATATCTGTTGAATGAATGCATATAGATGGAGACTGGACTTCACATAGAATTGTAAACACTGTAGTTAAGGAAAAGCTAGAAAAACCCATAAGAAATGTGCCTTTTCAATCACCACTCCACTCTACATAAGGACAAAACAATCTTAAAATAGCTTCCATGGGAATTAAAAAAAAAACATGACTACAATCGCCATAGTCAAATGGAATAAACTATCCATGCAAGAATTGCCCACACTTACTTAAAGCAAAAAGATGCCACTGTATTTCTTCCCACACCAGTTTTGCTTCTTCTAGTGCCTCAAGTTCAACAGCCAATGAACTCTGATCAGCTGGCTCTTTCCACAGAGATTTTAGACACACACAAACACACAGATATTCTTGACTATAATGGCCAGAAGTATTGTCTCTTATGTTGTATTCTTTCTCTATTCAGTATGGCAAGAAGAAAATCAAGTACATTGACTATGAAAAGCAGCACCTGTACTTCTACATGAGTGAGTATCCATGAGCCACATTCTTTGTCATTCCATTTCTTTGAAGTAAGCAGTAATTAAGCCAGAAGGGATGACTGCAACCCTCTCACAGAGAGGATTCCCGTGTCATCTTGTCACTCAGAAAAGCAGCATGTCTTATTTCAGACTTACTGGGGTAGAAACCTGAAAAGGAACTAGAGACACAAAAAGGAATTTCTAATAGGCATCTCATCACTCTGAGTATTGGGCCAAGAAGGAGTTGCTCCAAGAAGGATGGAAGACAGGATGTCAATCGAGAGGCCTTGCATCTGGGACTCTAAATATGGAACAACTAAAAACCTATCAACAAGAAAAGAATATTGGCCTTTGGGTAGGGAGGACAGAGATAGGGAAAGAATGCCAAGGCATTGACAGTATGACTCCAGAAAAAGTGGAGGCCCGAGAATAAATGACACCTATAGAGCTTCTGTGTGAAAGAAAGCTGGCTGTTTCCTTGGCTTACATATAGTTGTAGAAGATACTTTAGTAAACAGAGACAGACAGATGATGATAGATAGGTAGATATATAGATGACGGATGATGATAGATGATAGATAGATAGATAGATAGATAGATAGATAGATAGATAGATAGATAATAAGTCTAAATGTGGGATGTGGGTCCAGACTTAAAGAAAAATAAAGTAACTAAATAAAACTAATACTAATTTTAAAAACACCAGGAGAAAAATGCTTTGCTCTTAAACAAAATCACACCCATGACATTACAAAAAAGGTTTCCTGGAACCTCCAAATGTATTCATCTAAAATATTTGAGAAACAAACCAAAATATGGGCAGGTTCCAAACATTTCTTGTAGATCAGTGGTTCTCGACCAGAAATAGTGTTGCTCCCAGTGGAATATTTGGTGATCTCTAGAGACATGGTTGGTTACCACCACAGAAGGACAGGGATCGTATTGGATCCAGGAAGTATAAGCTTGGGATGCTGTTAAACATCCTCCACTGCACAGGACAACCCCCAACAATAAAGAATTATCTGGCCCAAAATGCCAACAGTTCCAATTCTGAGAAACTCTGTTGCAGATTATCTGATTTACCCAGATATTGGTTGCCAGTGGCCATCTGTAACAGACCTGACCAGAGAGGGCCTGTGGGCCAATTGTTAGAGACATAGGGATTAATTCCACTGCTGTCCCTTCCATTGCTGGAATTCTGTAGCCCATCCTAGGGTGGACACCTGCTCTTTCTCTTGCACAACCAAAAAGAGAGATAAAATTGGTGTCCCACTTTGAAAGGTAGCTCATCCCCAGCCTAGCTAGATGTGTGTTTACATAAGAAAAAGCTTTTGGAGTTTCTTTTCTGAACTCTCTTCCCATCTTTTTCTTTTTTTTTTTTTTTTTTTTTTTTTCTGTATGTGCTTTTATGTCTTTGCCAAGTCTACCCATTGGGCCATGCTACATTGTCTGGTACCTGCGTGGATTCTTTTTCTATTAGTCCCGGTTGGTGGTATGGGGTTTCTTTAATTCAGGGATTGGCTTTACTAATTCCAACGACTATTAAAATCTTAAAACAAATGTTCCATACAGAAAATGGCATTTGCTAGAGTGTTTCTTGTAGAGAATTTTGCTGGTTTCCTAAAATTTTGAGCTACATTTATTATGGGAGGTTAATTTTTCATCCTGATTCAGTTATAATGAACTCAGCCAGCATGTGAACTGTATATTCTCTGGGAGTCAGGAAAAGTTCTTATAATACTTTTCTCCATACCTAAGTCACATCACAGAAATACAGGATGGTTACAGTGGAAACAGTTTAAGCAAAACCTGTCTTTGGTAGTTGCTATCACACTTTTTCTCTGTCAATACTTCCCTTTTCTTCTTAGAGATGTGTATTAATGTTATTGCCTGTTAAAGGGGTTGTACCTTCTATTGTAAAATAGTACTCTGTCCAAAGTGCTTGTGGTTATACGGAACTATAACGTTCCTTCTTCCTTTAAAATTAATATTACTGTTCTGTTTTCTTTACTTTTGTATTTCTTTTTTAAATTTATTTTAATTGTTGTTCAAGTACAGTTTTCTGTCTTTTACTCCCATCCCAGCCCACCCCTCCAGTGTTCCCCACCTCCCTCCCATTTCCACCCCCCCTTAGTTTTTGTCCATGTGTCCTCTATACTTGCATGCAGCAATATGCCCTTAGCTCTTGAAGAATTAACGAATGGTGTGGACTCACTGCAAAATCCACACCCTCCACACATACACAAACCCTCCGGAGCTGTTTCATTATGTCCATTCTCTTCAAATGCCAGTTTAGCAATTCAGGCACAAGTAAATCAGACTCAAAATGTCTAAGAGATACAGATCTGGACATTTGTTAAAGATGGCAAGACAGATTTTATTCAGGCTATTGCAGCAAGGGAGATGGACTTCAGTATAAACTGAACTTAACTCTATTGGAACAAAAAGTGGGAGACTTTTTAAACATGGAAACATGTAAAGGAAATTGCTGAAAGATGTTGAGGGGAGAAGAAATTAGCCAGTGTGATTAAGCCATTTGTGTCTGCTAGCTGGTGCATATGGAAGTTGGGCTCCTACCTTCCCACAGAGACTGGGAGGCAAGGCCCTAGCCCTCATGGTCATATTTCAAAGGGATAATTCCAAGGTCCTTGAGAAAGATATTTCTGGGTGATAGGAGAAACATTTCAAAGGGACAGAGAAAGAATTCACAATGGTAAGATTTCTAACATACACATTCTAATAAAATAAAAGTCATCCCAGGGATGTGGCTCTGAGCTGCTCGGAACTATGCTAGTGTTTGTTCAAGTCTCTTAGTATGTGGGATGGATGAAATCATTTGTGCTGAGAGCTGGCAGAGTTTGAGAGTTTGCAGGCCAACACAAAGCCTAGTCTAGAAGAAAACTCAGAGTACCTGACTGAACTGTAGTCAAAGACAGAGTCTGTCAACATGCAAATGGTCTCCATAAGACTTGTTTGTGCTTTAGCCTCATTGATCCTGGGGAGAGAAGCAGGTAAACAATTCTCTGGCCAGGAAAATACACCTTCTTTATTTCTGCCATCTTGATATATTATGACAAGCCCAATCTTGAAGGTTGTGACAGATGGAAGAAGTCCATAGTCTTTGAGATAACTTGAAAGCTCACAGCAGAAGCTCTTCCAGGATGCCTCCATCAAGAATGACTCAAATCCTGAAAGCTCCCCTAGTCTCCTTGAAGGAGCTTGCACCAAATTCCTGGTTCAGCCTCAAAGACTCAAAACTCCCAGCTTTGGGTTTCAACCTTGCCACCCTGCTCAAAGGTAACATTGCAGGTGGCATGTTAAGAAGAGAGACTCCTGCCGACCTGCACTGAAGTCAGGTTCTAGTCATTTACTCACCATCTTTTTTTGTTGTGTGTTTTTTTTTCAGTTGGGCTTCCCCTCCTTGTGCCTATATATTTCAACCTACAATCCATGCAAGTGATGTACCTCCGAAGGTATTGGGGGGTGAGTAACTTCACTCATTCTCAGAAGCCAAACCAGGTAGAACACAGAAGTGAAAATGCCTGTTCCCTTCTAGATAGACCTTCCTCGGATAACACAACATAAGATTTAGCCAGTACATGGAGGGACCCTAGGCAAATGAAGGGGAAGTGAAATTGTGTTCAGAGCATCTAACTTTCAACCATTTCTGTCTTCAGGATATTGCCTGGGTCAGCAGTTTTTACATCCGCTATTTCATCACATTTGGCCCTTTCTACGGAATCTTCGGAACCATGTTGCTCATATATTTGGTCAAGTAAGAAAGCAAGAATGTCCATTTTTTTCCTATAACCCTAGACAGTTCTCTTACCTTCCTTATCTAATCTATTTGTGATTAGCATAGGATTATGACAACATGCCCCATTCTCTGTAACTGGGATATTTCTAAGACAATGTAAACATAAATAAATAAATAAGTTGAAATAGTTAAGTAAGAAATACTCCCTAGAGAAATTTTTTTGCTCAGTCTACTCTTTTTTTCCACTTGCTTAATTCTCAATTGCAGTATTTCACCTGATCCTCAAATCTTTTAAAACTGTAATCCAATTAGACATCATAATCTTTGCCAAAGATAATGGAAGGGAAGAAATTTTTAGAGTTATTTAAGGACTAGAGATTTTCCCAGGACCAAAATGACTTCCCACTGAATAGTCCTCTTCAACTTCCCAACTGATTCCCCCCTCATGATTTTACTTTATTATTCTATATTCTACATAATAATAAGGATCATGCTAGTTAATATGCATTAGGCACTTTGCTAAAGGCTTAACATGCATTATCTGATAATGCATGTTAATGCAATCCTCCTATAATCTTGTAATGTAGGTAGTATCATCTTTATTTTTTGCTCAGGAAGCTGAAGCACAGTGAGATTAAATCACTTGCCCAAGGCTATAGAGCTAGTAAGGTACAGTGGCAGTGCAGGAGAACTTGAACCCAGCTCTACCTGATGACAAAACCCTGGCTGTCATTCACTTTGCATATGTCCTTAAGTCACCTAAGTATTTTTTGATCCTTGCATCAATGTTACAGCAAACTTTGGGGCACACTACCTTGCTTCTGCACACTACCCAGCAAGGCCAGTCATGTGACCAAATAAAGGGCCTCCAAAGAGGAAAATAAATGACCACTATTTTATTAAAATCTTTGAGTACCTTGCACTTTCTCCAATGCTCAGCCAGCTCTGCCAGCAATTCTGCAAGCCCGGTAATTGCAACTGTAACACCCCAGAGTCATCGCTTCCTTCTTTTATTCTTCAAAAGGTTTCTTGAAAGTCCCTGGATTGCATATGTTATACAGATGAGCCACATACCAATGAAAATGAGCACAGAGGAGAACAGAGACTGGCTCAGTACTCAGGTAATAATGAAGTTCCTGGGAGAGGATTCTTCAAAGCATTTTAAGCCCAGGCAGTTTGATTTCAGAGTCTTTGAACTACCTGTCAGTAAACTAAAGTCCAGGGGTCAATTCCAGCCCACTACTTATTTCTATAAATAAAGCTTTCTTGGAATACAACCATGTTCATATGTTTTTATATTATCTATTAATGCTTTCATGCTACAACAGCAGAAGCTGGGACAGAATTAAAATATTTGCTGCTTGTCACTTTACAGAAAAGATATGCTGACCCCTATTCCCACATGACACAGTCTTTCAAGTAAATCTGAGATGCCTAGAATTACAGAATGAATTTGACACCCAGAAGGCCACTGGAATGCACCTCATTTCTTTGTACAGGTAGAGAGGCTCAGCGAGGAGATATAACATGATCTCCACGCATGGCGTGAGTGATTTCAGAGCTGTGACTGGTGCAGCACACCCCACTTCCTCAGCCTTCCACTAGCTGTGCCGTGACTGACTGGAGAACCCAGTCATCACCTACTTCCTCCTCTGAGCCCATTTCCAGATTCAGTGGACCTTCCATAGGGTGTAGAGTAATGGTTCTCAAAGTGTTTCAGTCACAGAACCACGTTACATGCATAAAAGTTACAGAGAGCCTCAAAGAGCATGTGTTATTACAAGTTATTTATGTTCATAGATATTTACTGTATTTGAAATTAAAACTGAGCCATGTTAAAACATTACGGATCAATTATTAATTTATTATGGATTAAAATAAGAATTAAACCAATACATGTTAGCCTCAGAGTGATGGTGCTATCCCACGTTAGTAGCCTCTGGGAAAAATTCACTGTACAAGCATGACGCAATGGGAATGAAAAGGCAAAAAATGTCTTAGTAGTGTTACTGGACTACTGCTGACCTTGCAGATCTCCTGAATAGTGTCCTAGGTAACCCCAATTTCTCTGAAGAACACTTGAGAAACACCGACATAGAATAACCCAAAATAACATTCAAAAAGGCAACAACCCCAACTAGAATTAAGCCTTAGAAAGGCATTGAATAAAATAACATTCCTAAGGGATCTTATTCTTGGCAGTCTGGAGAAGCCTGCAAACTCCTCAGGATGATACTTTGTCAATGCATAAAGCATCAGATTACAAAGGAAAGTACTTACATTGAATGCACTTCTAATGCACAAAGACCCTTGGTTAAAACTTGAGTGCCTTATTCCCCATTTGGAGGCCCTTCAAGTCCACTCCATGGAAATGGTATTCTAAGCCCTACAGTCTCTACCAAAATCCTATACTCTCAACTTCCATTTGCCAAGGTCTTCATTTGTGACACCTTAGTCTTCCGTATCCAAAGACAGATGATGACTTAGCCCCCTCGAGTTCTATATACTTTTTCATATCTATTGCCTTGTATATACTTCTTAGAAAATCTTATTGCCAGTTTAAGTTGTAAGTTATTTATCTAAGAGCATCTATCTTTTTTATTCCTCGTAGTTTCTTACACAAAAGAGGTACTCAATGAGCACTTGTTGAATGATTGAAAAAAAAGAACAATGAAACATTTTTTCTGTTTGAGACTTGAGCTTATTTATATCTGATGCAAGATTTTTCTTTGCAGGTATTGGCCACCTGTAATGTTGAACAGTCCTTCTTCAATGACTGGTTCACTGGGCACCTGAACTTCCAAATAGAGCACCAGTGAGTGATTGAAACAGTCCATAATAGGGGGTGTGGGTTCCGACATACATACAGTCCAGAGCAGAGCCACAGACTTGGGATCACTGAGGGGAAAAAAACTGAACCAGAATTTGCTAAAGCCTTCTATCTTTCTATTAACACCAATGGTAAGGAAGGAAAGAAAGAAAAGGAGTTATTATAATTGTTAGTATATAGAGTGAAATCTTGTAAAAATACCAGTGACTTGGTTTCCAGATCATTATGGATTTAGAAAGTGTTGATTGTTTTCTTTGCATTTGGCTTGTTGGGAAAACCCAAGAAAAATAACACCACTTGGGTAACCAAGTAGTGTTGAACCTGTTTGTTTGTTTGCTTGTTTAATTTATTGGGGTGACATTGGTTAACAAAACCATACAAGTTTCAAGCATACAACTCAACAAAAGATTGTCTGCCCACTGCATCATGTACTCATCGCCCAAAGTCTCTTCCTCTCCCCATTTCCCCCCTTTGCCCACCTCAGCCTATTCCTACCCCCTTTTCCTCTAGCCAACACCACACTGTTGTCCCTGTATTGTGTTATGTATATATATTTGTATTTTGATCAATCCCTTCACCTTCTTTGATCCTGCTCCCCAAGCCCCCTCTCCTCTGACAGCTGACAGTTTTTTCCATGGATCCATTCCTCTTATTTCTATTTTGTTTGTCAGTTTATTTTGTTCATCATATTCCTAAATGCCTATCTGTCTATATCTTTAGGTTACAAAATAATAATGAAATTCAGTCTCTGATGCAATTCCAAATGGTATCTGGAAATACTTTACCAATGTGTCAGTTAGGCAGATATGTCCTAAAGAAAGAGCAAATTATAACCATTTGAAAGTTAATATCTCCAGAATATTCATGGGAGAGATTTTCCATATCATTTTGTCTAAGCCATTTTTGTGACAGTTAGAGAAGAAAAGAGATGTTGTACCTATTCATAAGATTTTCTCGTCATTTCTTTCATGTTAGTCGTTTGAAATCCCAGCAAAGCAAAACAGAATTTTTATTTACATTTCATCAAAGAGGAGGTAAAAACAAGAAAGTCATCTGGCTAATTAGTAAAACCCTTGGATAGAAGGGTTGTACTCACTTCTTATCTTTTCTCACTTCTTATCCCTATCCTAGAACTTTTCCCATATGTCATGACTAGAATTTACTGAATACTCATCTATTCACGGTGGAGAAGTCAGAGGGATAGAAAGAGACAGACACACAAAGAGAGACAGAGGAGGAAGGTAGATCTCTCCAGCCCTCTAGGTAATACAGAGTGCTAGAAAACTCCATACTTTCATATGAGCTGGCCAAATACTAAACATTTCTGATGGAGCTAATATTTATTTTCTTTGCTTTTCCCAAACATTGCCACCCACAGGGCTCACAGAAAGTTAAGAGGTAAAAACATTTGGTGAGAGTTTTTTTAACTTCCCAGAGCAGAAGTATTATGCAAGGTCAAGGTTGGGTCTGAATTGCTGATGTAATTTCATTTAGTAATGGAGAAAGGAAACTTTTTCATGTTTCTCTGTCAGTCTAGGTTTTATATACCTCCTTTCTGTTTCCCTAGTCTGTTCCCCACTATGCCTCGTCATAATTATCACAAGGCAGCACCTCTGGTGAGGTCCCTGTGTGCCAAACACGGATTGCAGTATGTGAATAAGCCCATGTTGAAGGCGTTTGGAGATATTATCAGGTAATAACAGAGTCTCCTCAACTCACGGCTCTCATTTTCCTTCACTGTCTGTCCCCATACTATTCACTGGCTTGTGACTCATTCACTCAATAACCACCTATTAAGGGGCTCCTGGATGCCCAGCATGGACATGAACAGCAGCAACAAGAGCAATGATAATAATAATTCTTAACATCTACCTTCAGCCTTCTAGGTACTTCTTGGTAAAAATGCCTTTCTGTCCTACTAAATTTCAAGCTTCTTAAAGCCAGGGCTGTGCATTACTTGTTTTTATATCCCCTAGAGGGACTTTGAGGGTTCAAGAACTTAACTGGGAGGGATTCTCAAATCATCTACTCCAGGGTTGCAAGCAAAGATGCTGGCAAAGTCCAGCGGGACATAAATGTGTGAATCAGGCAGGGGTGACTGATCCCCTGTGGACATACCCCAGGGGTAACTGACCAAAAATGGTGAGGCCTGACAACTGAAAACTCATATTCATCCTGAAGCACTCACAGTTCCCTAGAGACCACTGTGCTGTTCAAACTAACAGCCAGCAATCGGGGTTTAATACCTTCGTTTACTTTTAGAGTTGGGGGAAAACAAACTAAAACACAGCATCTTGAATGAGGAAAACAAGGCCAGGCCAGTTCCAAACTGATCCCTGACTAGTATTCTAGTTTTGGACTCTACCACTGTCTTCCCTCTCTGCCCTCCAGATATCCAGCCTTCCTTCATTTGTTACATTAATCCCTGCCCCTTGCCATTTAATTTTCTTTGTCCCCTGTTCTTCTGCCTTGAATGTTCTTCCAACCTGCCACCTGCCATATCACCTTATCAATCTCCATTTACTCTCCAAAGCTCTTCTCAAATATCTTTTCCTCCTCAACCTTCCCTGATCCCCATGACGAGGCCCCATGCTGTTGCAGCACCTGGTTCTCTTTATTTGTGACCTTTATCATAATCATGACTAAATAAAATGTTGGGTAATAAATTCTAGTCTCTCTTATTAAGCCAGGAACTCCACGTGGAGAGGACTCACCTTTCTCTGATTCACTGCTGTATCTCCAGAGCCCAGAACAGTATCTTTAACATTATAAAATAGGGTGGGTAGGTAGATATTGGATGGGTTGGTATATAGTTGCATGATTTATCCTGTAAAATCTCAGCGAGGCTTTTTTGTAATACTAGAAAAATGTGTGGGTGATTCAGGTTTGGGGTTCAGAGGAGAATAAATGAAAGAAAAACTCAATCTTCTCTATAAGGGAAAGGAGGCCTCACTTGCTAAAAAAAAATTAGTGTACTTGACTTCTTCCACTGGGCAATAGAGAAAGACATTTTTCACATATGGCTGAAAATGACAACATGGCCTTGCACCAAGTGAAAGAGCAAATGTTTCATGGAGTAGCAACCCTCACCTGAGAGTCTCACCTCCTAATGATCCTGTTCACTCTTTCCACAGGGCCTTGAAGAAATCTGCAGCCCTCTGGGTGGATGCGTACTATGAAACATGATGCAGAACACCAGCCTTGACATGCATGCCATTGTATCTCTCAAAGGGGCTGGTGAAAGTGCAAGAACTCTTCCCACTTACCTGTCAATGCCACTGGCATACCCTTGAAATGTGAACTCTGAGGACACATGATAACCCCTTCCCTGAAGGTTTCCTCTGCAAACAACAAGCAGTGGGAACACAAGATGGCTTTGACCAGACTAACAAATGGGACATGGGAGCCCCATGTTTTTATTTTTTCAAAAGGGTCTCGAACTTAGTCCTACCAACAGACCTTAGTCAAATCATCTCAGTCACTGGGCATAAGCACAGGAGAGCCATGGAGAAGTTTCACTGATGAAGTGGACATAGAAGAGAGTGGGCCAAGTAGAGACCCTGGATGGAGCACTTTTTGAAAAACAAAGCAGTTACTCTTAGAAGAAAATAGTGTATTTAAGAAATTCCTGTTGAAGCACAAATGTTTTGCTTATTCCTTTTATAAATGTTTGAACTTTTTCTTTAAATGTTGAGTATCATTAACATTAAAATCTCTTTAAATGTTTCAATATTCATTTCAGATTTCATTATTGCACTGTATATGTATAATTGGTGCATATATATTTCTTTCAAGTTATAAAACTTCTGAAAGGTACTCCTACATTCAGTCCCAACAGCAACTGATAATGCAAGCTAAGGTTCCACGCTAAAGGTGACTTGTTCTCTGCCTGAGAATAGACTGTCACTGAGTCTAAGGTTTGCCTAAACCCTACCCACCAAACAGAACTGCCAAACCTCATCATTAGGTGACTCTACCGAAAGAAAGGGATTTGTTTTCTGTAAGGTAGACCCTGGGCTGGTTCACCAAATTAAGGCATGGCACCAAATTAAGCATGCATTAGGACAAGACAGTTTCAATGTTAGAACAATGAGTTAGCACCCTCAAAAGCTAGCATACTGATGTTCAGTGTGTCTGTGCTTTTGTTCATCTGTTCATGGGGGGCAGCTAATAGATGATCTTGACTATGGGGAGAGAAAGCAAACAGCACAGCCTCCATCCCCTACTCTATGCAAGTCAGCATTAGGGGTTTATCTGTTGCCTGAAATTCCACCAGGAAGAATTTTGTTCCCCTCTCCCAAACTCTGCAAGATATTTGGGGTTCTTTTTGTGTCTTATTTTAATCCCTTTGGGTTCTGGATACCCTGTGGAAGAAAAAGAAAGTGTAATGACTTGAAAGAAGGCCCTGGGGCTGAAGCTGAGGGAGCACAGGCCAGAGTGGTACAAGGTGGGACAATGAAGGAAAATGCATTAAATTATTCATACATTCAAAGAGTTAGTCATGAATACCAAAGCTAATAAAACAAGAACTGGTTGTCTAGAAGTATTAGGCATTTAAATGGTAGTAATATTCAGTAAGGAAGTTGTGTAGGAAAAGAGAAAGAAAAGTTTGGTTGACTTCATGATTCTTCATAATGCAAGGCCTGGGTGGATCTGACAAGGGCCAAAATTCCTCCTGTGGGTGGACCTATAGATGATTTCTCCTGCCTGAAATCAGGGTTGCAAGTGGAAGTGGAGGAGAATGATTGGCTTTCTCTGTCTCCTCTGGTCCAACTCCTGACGATGCTCAAGCATCATTTGTTCTCCTGGTCACTAGACCCTCAAGGTCAAAACTAGCCCATGTTGCAGTTCTCCAAATGGAGTTGGTTACTGTGAAACTGAACAAATCTGGGAGATTTAGACAGATTACTTAAAGGAACCATGTAAAATCTATTCAAAAAAGGTTCTAGGTAAGAACAAAAGTTTATAATGGAGTAAATTTTAACTTTCTTAGTGCTAGTCAATAAAACAGTCCTTTTCCTGAATTCAATCTCTCAATTGATTTTTCTTTCTCACCCTGCAGTGACTCATATTTGCACTTGTGAGGCATGTGATTATATTTCTATTACTTGTTCAATAAGCTTCCCAGAGAAGGAGCTCAAAGACCTGTTACTGTGACAATTTCCCAGCTCTCTGACCACTAAATTAGAATTTAGATGATCCAGTCTGCAGGTCATTCCATTTCTGCCCTTCTTATTGTAGGGCTCTAATGACTGTTTTTAGACAGTTTTTTTTTTTTTTACAGTCCTACCTAAAACACTTCGATGGATTCCCATGGCTCTTGGAATAAAGATCAGCCTAGAAGACTGGCAACAGACTTTGCCTGCATGGGCCCTTCCCCGTGCACCCTGCCCCACCTTGTACCACTCTGGCCTGTGTTCCCTCTGCTGCAGCCCCAATGGCTTCTTTTGAGTTGTCACAGTTCCTTCTGCCACAGGGTCTTGGCTACTAAATCCAGTATCTGAACCTCTGTGTCACTCTCCCTGCTCTCACTCCTCACCCACCTGGGTGTCACTTACTTGCAGATCCCAGGGAAAATCTCCACCCAGTCCTGCCTTCCTAGGATATGCTCTATAGCAATTTCTACAGGTATAATTTTACATTCATTTGTATGATTCCTTAATTAATTTGTCCTCCCTGCTAGCCTTCAATATCTGTGAAAGTAGGGACTGCCCAACATGTTGAAGTCACTCAATAAAGATGTACAGAAAGAAGGGAGGGAGGGAGGGAGGAAGGAAGGAAGAAATGAAGGAAGGAAGGAAGGTGGAAGGGAAGAAATGAATATATGTAAATGTAATTCTAACTAGATAGAAAGATAAATTTTATCTAATATGGGAGAGGCAATTTTATACTCTAACTCTAAATTATTAAAATTCTTACCAGTACTTAAGAGTATCTACCAAGTAATTAGTACTGAACTATTCCCTTCATAAGCATTATTTTATTTAATCCTCTAACAATCCCATGATGCAAGTCCTATAATTAATCTCATTTTATAGATGAAAAACATGGTGCTTAGGGAGGCCAAGCAACTTGCCTGATGTCCCCGGTAGGAAGTGGTGGAGTTTCAGATCCAAGGATATCTGACTTCATAATTGACACTCATTAAGTTCCATGCCAGAAAATTCAAAATAAAGGGGAATTAAGTGACATTTGAAGACATGGCAGTTGGCACGTCTGGAATATCTCTAATAGTTTCCCAGAAGCTGATGGAATAAGAATTGCTACCTGCACAAGAGCAAGTGCCCTGGGGATGGAAAAATGGAGAAGTATGTGAGAGCCACAGCAGCAACTTGGAAAGGGTCCCTGTTTGGTGAACCTCTACTAACCAACCCTAAAAGAGCATCCAGCTCAGAGAAATTTCACTTGGGAGTAGTGAAGCTGAGATTGAACTTTTAACCACCTTAAAGATTGAAGAACAGGATGAAAACATGCATTTGAGATGTGGGGACTTACTGTAATTTCAACCCACATAAAATTTACCACCTCTGTCTTTACATGGACTAAACCCTATTTCCTTTAAAGCTGTACGCTTCCTGGAAAAATCTGCCTGTGAGAAATTGCATGTATTTTCAGTTAGACATTAAGTAAGGGTGACTGAATTAGAAGTCAGGGACTTGGATTCTAATTTCAACTCCCTAATTGAATAATCTACAATAAAATTGGCCAGGTCACTCATATACTTCATACCTGAATGTGCAAAACAGGTGTGGAGCATAATATTACCTGGCCTACATGCATGATAGCATGGTCAGGACAATTAAATGAAGTAAGGCAAATGACATAGTTTCACAAGGCGGGAACACCCATCTGACACCAGGTACTATTATTATAATGAGGGTTCCTCCCATCCTGGACCCACCAAAAAACCCAAAAGAGGCCAGAGAGTCACACAGACCCACAGGCTGAAAAGGCAGTGAATCATTTTAACAACGACAGTATGAGAGGCTTTCCCCAGGTGAGAGGCTTATGAATCACAAGCGAGAAAATGACTCCTCCTGTTCCAACAAGTAACACCCAGGAGTCACCCACCATGTCTGACTGTATTAAATCCCCTGAGACCGACACTCAGAGCTCAGGCTGAAGGAATAATAGAGAACCAAGGGTCCTAGTTATTCAAACTTCTGGTTAACTATGAGAGTACACAATTCTCTTGGTTGAAAATTATGCCAAATGTAAGTATACAAATTAAGCAATAACTATTGGGCAAATCAATATGCTATAAACAACTTTCTTGACTATTTCCTTGCCAGTTATCTAATCATCTGCCCTAAAGATGGAGAAAGTAGAGGAGAATGAACTTAAACTCTACAGAAGGCAGGAATATAATCAGGCATTTTTTTCTTTCTCAACATCATTTATGAAAATTTGCTAACAGACAGCAAAAGTGAACATCAGCATAGCCATCACCTAAATTTCAACTTGAACATCTTAGGAAACTTCTTTTCATTTAATATCCATCCATCTACCTGTATCTCTATCCATTAGTCCCCTCTTATTTTTTATGTATTTTAAAATAAATTTCTAGGGGCTAACTTTTAAAAATAAACCTCACATTATGCAAACAACAAAGTATATTTCTTCTCTTCAGTAAAGAATTGGTGAAAATTATGTAGCTATTTCATCTCTGGAGAATTTTAAGGGAATTTTGCTATTTTGAGCGACGGTAATATAGTTAAATCCCTGCAAAATCAATCATTACTCAAAACAGAATAAACCTTCTCATGCATACATTAACCTTTCATTATCTTTTGTTTATGCATATATATTTATCTTCATTATTCTCTTTCATTTGTCACTTACCACCTGTCATTTATGATATGAACAAGAGAGGCAGGAGACAGCCTCTTGGAACTTACAATCTACTGGAGAAGACGGTCAGTAAACAAGTAAATGGAAGAAGAAAACAGATTGATTACAGGTAAAGAAAATAAAAGGGTGTCATGAGAGAGAATAATGAGTGGGGGAGTAGTTTGGATAAGGGGGTCAGGGACAGGGGAATGTGAGAAGAATGTGGAGGAGCCTGCCCTGAGATCCGGATGAGCAGGCCACAGAACCTAGGCCCTGAGGCTGGAACTGGGCTGTGTTCAAAGAACAGAGAGGGAGGTGTGTATGACAAGCAACCTGCAAGAAGCAGGTTGTTCCCTCACTGCCACTTAACCACATTTCTTCATGAGTGTGTTTGCCTTGGCTTTTATGTGAACATCGTTTTCTCTGAGAGGCCTTCCCAGTCTTAAATGACCAGGTTAATTCTCCCTTTATAAGCTCCTGTGGCCTGTGCACTTCACTGAGTCAATTTACTTCTGCCTGCACATTCACTAGACTGAAAACTCGGGGGAGGGGCTGCTGGGCCTGCTGTCCCCACAGTCTCCGGGGGCTGGAGACAAAGATGTCAGTCACAATAGTACTGTGGTTACCAGAGGGAGAGGAGGAGTCAGGGAGGGGTCAGAGGGTAAAGGGGGTCAAACAGTTGGTGATAGAAGGAGATTTGACTTTGGGTGGTGAACACACACAGTGCAAAATACAGATGATGTAGTGTGCATTTTGAACCTATATAATCTTAGTAACCAATCTCACCCCAATAAATTTAATAAAATTAAATTAAAATAGCAGTCACATCCATGGCACTGAGAGCCTTTCTGCCATTGGAGTGCTGCAGGTGTTCTGGACAATGGAGTGAGCCCTTCCAGGCTGAGGCTTTGCAGGATAGAAACCCCATTCAGCATTTCCTCACCTCCACTCCTTACCTGGCATGCACTGGGCCACAGATTGAAAGATTGAGTCTACAACACCTTTTGTAACAAAATCTCTCAGTGTATAGAAATCATGAGGCATCAATCATTTTGGAAAACAGAAAAACCCAGTAAAATTGTATCACCGTACTGTTCATAGAACTATTTAAAGGATCAGGGTGATATCATTAGCTTGGCAACAGACTCTACCAAAGATATTTTAGGAATTGAGGGTCAAAGCATAGTATTAGCTGATATGAAGGCAGTGACAAAAAAGAATCAGAGCCATGTGTCCAGGTAAGCATCATCTTCTTGTGTAGCAGGGTAGAGTGGTAATAAACAGGTAGGCATTTCAGGTGAAAAAAGGATCAATGTACCTTACTTATGCTGTCTCCATAACAGACTATAGACTGCCAGAAAGGAAGAGATTTGGAGACCAGCTACTCCCACTCTCTCAAAGCTGTTGACTCCTTGTGGGGTACCTGCAGGAGGCTGTCCAGGACTCACCTAACCTCAGCCTGCTGGACTCCAGCTAGCCTTCCCTTCAGGTAGATTAAGCAGCTAAGGGGCCAGCTGGCATTGGAGCTTGGCTTGTTTGGGTTCTGTTTGCCTTTGCAGCAAGCTCCCCCAATCACCACCTGCCCCACGCTGCTAAGGGGGCTCCACAGGATTGTTTTCTGTGTGACTCAGCTATTGAGCTCTCCAAAGAGGCACAAGGAATCCAGTCTTTGTCTCCTTAGACCTCTCCATACCCCTGTTAGCAGCTTGTCACCATGTTCAGGTTTTGGGGGGGGGGTTTGAGAATTAAAAATTCCATGTTCAGTTTTGACCGAGTCCTTCACAAAAGCTTTTGAAACCCCTTTTATGTTTCAATTATACCTAGGATCGTTTCTGTAGGGTTTTTTTAATAATGTCTTATCTGATTCATCTGCACTTTATTATAACCTACTCAGTCTTCTCGATCACAGTTAAATGGAACCACCATTCACACAATTGATCAGAGCAAAAATGCAGGAGTCAAACTTCATTTCTCTCTTCCCTTTACTTCCTAAATTCAAACCAAAAGCACTCCCTTTAAAGGCTACCTTCTCAAAATAGTACAATTAAGTACCATTATCTCCATTTCCCTTATACTACCCTTGTCAAGCCACCATTATCTCTCAATCAGAAAACCACAGAATCTCATATATGGTCTCTCAATTTCCATTCTTGCTCTTATAACCTATACCCCAATCAGCAGCAGGAACCATCTGTCCAGCACAACAGTCTCCTTTCACTTCCCCCACTAACCACAATGGCTCCCTATCATACCCTGAGGCCTTTTATGATAATATCCTTACTGGGTCTCTGGTACAATGTGTGACCTATTCCCCTCCACTCCCTCCAGGCTGCTTTCTTGTCCTCGGAACACACAAGCCACACTCGTTCCAGATGCTCTTTTCCCTAGGTTGGGTTTGCTCTCCCCACTGTGCCATCTCTATAAAGAAGTGTCTCCTGACTGGCAGTCTCCTCTCAGGCAAGTTTACTCCACAGCATTTTATTTCCCTCATAGCAGAAATATTAGGGAAGAAATATAATATTTGCTTATTAGAGAGGGATTTTTTATTTACATTCTGTTCTCCACACACACCAGGATGCAAATTCCATGGGTCATATCCATATGTCCCTGTTTCCTATGAGTCCCAAGTGCCTAGAACAGTGCCTTACACATAGTAGGTCCTAATAATATCTATTGCCTTAACATAGAACATTTAACATAGAATCACTGAATGTATCTGTTTCCTCAAGAACAGAAGATTTGGTTCTGTTCAAACTTTGGGTCTGGCTCAGGCTGATGACTAAGATCTTAAATGCTGGATTCAAATGGACTTATTTGAATTCCATGTTCATCTTGTCCTATTCATGTAGTCATGGCTGACTCACTTTGTATCTCTGAGCCTCAGCTCCTTTATCTATACCATGCAGATAATAGCAGTACTTATGCCATAGGATTATGTGCAGATTAAACAGGACAATACATGTGAAACCTGTCAGCCCTGTGCCTTGAAATGGAAAACCCTCGGTAAATAGTTTTACTATTACTGGCATTGGTTTTGTGCTTCTAGGAGTCACCACTATAAAATAAAAGGAGTAATTTCTCTACTAAGACCTTGCCTTTCATTCACATACATTCATTTATTTATTCCATGAAGATTTGGATACAAACTAGTTCCAGACACGGTACTGGGTATGATGTACACAAATACAAAAAAGTATCCTTGCCTACAAGGATCTCACCATCCAGAGCAAACAAATGATTCACATTAGTAATTAGCACATAGATACACATAGACTATGGGGAGAAAGAGAAAAAGATGTAAGTCACAGGGGCTGGGGGGGAAACGATGCCCATTTCCCTGAACCAAGAGTCAAAGGATGAGTACATGCACGTGCATATTCTCTTCCAACACCACTGAGGCAGCCACATCTGGTTCATTAGCCCTATTTTACAGATGGAGAAACTGAGATTTGGAGTAAGCAGAAAAGCCAGTATACAAAACCAGGTTTATAATATCAAGGTCAACCCCAGGTTGGCACAGATGGTCCCTAAGCTCATGGAAGTAAACAAGACAAAAACTCCCTAAAGGACAGAAAGTTGAAAAAATATGTTTTTGATGGTCTCAGCTGGGACTCTCAATACCATACACTCAACCCAACCCCGCAGTGTCTGAGATTCTCATGGGACTAGGTCTTAATTCCACAGCCATCAGAATTAAATACCCCATTTGTAGCCAAAGCAAAAATAATCACTTTGCAGCAAGTGTAGAAAGAGATTTCTAACATAAATGCAACTTTTTAAAAAAAGTAACCCTTGGTATATTTTTCTAAGCAGAGGTTTGCTGCAGTGGCTGGAAGGCCAATCCAAGCCTGGAAGCCAGAGAACTACACCAGGAATTTTATCTTTGCAGACTCCAGAAAATCCTCCTCCAGAAACTCAAAACCAGTAGCAGAAGCTGCTGAAGTGTGAGTAGGGAGACCTTGGGACATGCAGTACCTAAAAACAATGCCTCAGATACCGTCAAGGCTTTGTAGAAGTTTTGCAACTGGAATTATTCATCTGTTACCAGCTAACACTTTGGGAAAAGTACAAGTCAGGTCTAGACTCAAGTTTTACTTTACTTGAGGATATCTTTGAGTAGAACAGAGGCGGTCAAGGGCAAGGGTAGGGAAATGAGATCTTTGTCAGAGGGTACAAACTTAGAGTTATAAGATGTGTTAAGTTCTAGGGATCTAATGTACAGTGTGGCAACTGTAGTTAACAATACTGTATTGTACACTTGAAAGTTAGAGTAGAGTTTAAATGTTCTCCCCCTGACAACAACATGGTTACTGTGTTGGGTGAAGGATGTGATAACTAACCTTAATATGGTAAATATTTTGCAATATATCCATGTACCAGATTATCACAATGCATACCTTATGCTTTCACAATGTTAACTGTCAATAAAAACATCAATAAAGCTGGGTGGAAACAGAATATCTCAAAAAAAAACAGGAAAAGTTTGTTGCAGTTTAATATAGAAAATGCTGCAAATTGGAGCAACACCCCTTCATTGTATATAATGTGAGTCCCTATTGCCTCTTGCCCTTAGCTTATTCAAAGCACCTTCTCTGTTTGGAGTTGCCTTCCTCAGCCATAAAGATCACTACCTTACAATTCCAATTTTAAAGTTACTTGTTTCAAGGAAGGTTTCTTTTTTTATTTATAATTTTATTTTATTTTTATTTTAATTGTTGTTCAAATACAGTTTTCTGCCCTTTACTGACATCCCAGCCCACCCTCCCATCCCTCTCCATCTCCCTCCCATTTCCATCCCCCCTTGTTATTGTCCATATGTTCTTTATACTTGTTCCTTCAAACCCTTTCCCACTTCCCCTGAAATTCCCTGCTCTCTTCCCTCTTGTCACTGTCAGCCTGTTCTCTATTTCAGTGTCTTTGGTTATATTTTGCTTGTTTGTTTTGTTGATTAGATTCCTGTTAAAAGTGGGGTCATATGGTATTTGTCTTTCACCGCCTGGCTTATTTCACTCAGCATAATGCTTTCCAGTTCCATCCATGCTGTCACAAAGGGTAGGAGCTCCTTCTTTCTCTCTGCTGCATAGAATTCTATTGTGTACATGTATAGTAGTTTTTTGATCCATTCATTTACTGATGGGCACCTAGGTTGCTTCCAGCACTTGGCTATTGTAAATTGTGCTGCTATGAACACTGTGGTGCATAGGTTCTTTTGGATTGGTGTTTCAGGATTCTAGGATATAAACCTAGCAGTGAAATTGCTGGGTCAAAAGGCAGATCCATTTTAGTTTTCTGAGAAAATTCCATACTGTTTTTCATAATGGTTGTACCAGTCTGCAATCCCACCAACAGTGCACTAGGGATCCTCAAGGAAGGTTTCTATAACAAGGTTCTTCTAACGACATGAAATCATTCTCTAAACTAAAATGAAGCAGCATTTGGTTTGTACAGATCCTTTTGGACACTATTAACTCTGACTTTTGTCTCAGAGAATCACCATAACAAGGGAACTTGAGGACTATGGGTATAACTACAATAATTCACCATTTTTTACCCTAAACATTGTTTTTCACAATTGAGATGTTCAATTTTTTTCCTTAGAACTTAGTTGACCTCTTTTAACCCTAAAATAGTAATACTTCTTGTCTCTTTAATATTTTATAAAGGAGGTGAGTCTTTGATTTCATAAACTGGCAGCATTTTGACTTGCTGAGAGATGGTATGTCTGTAACCTGTGCTTAACAGCAACCTAATGCATAAAAAACACATACAAAATAAGTCAATAATTTAAAAAAGGCGCAAAAGATATACAATGAGTATGTGCAATCAACAAATAAAATATCACCAGTACCATTGAAGTCCTGGTATTATATGCAATGTAATCAATCAGTCAATAAGCTCTTTTTCTCAACATTATGTTTCTAAGCTTTGGGTTAAGAAATGTAGCTCTTATGACTTACTTTCACTAATGCATAAGATTCTGTTCCTTTCTAAACTATTCTTTATTTAATCATTAGTTGTTTAATTTCTTTTCAGTTTTTGTCTATTATATAATTGCATGGCTTGGTTCACATTTTTAAAATCCAATTTGACAGTCTTTGAATTTTAATGATGAGCTTAAACCATTTGTATTTCTTTTTCTTGCTAATTTATTAGATTTATTTATGCCTTCTCAGGTTATTTCTATTTGTCTTTTTCTATTATTCTTTTCATCACCTTTATTGTGTTTCTTTATATTGAATGAACTTAAAATTTTATTTATTCCCCTAAACTTAAAAAAAACTTATTTTTATCTCTTATAATTATTGGAAATATATACATATAAGTAACAGTGTAAAGCACAAGAATTTTAGAGCATCATAAACCTAATGAACTCCCTGATCTTACATACTAGCATCAGTTGATATTTTCAGTCTATCACTTCCCCATGGACAATATTATTATTTTATACTACCTCTACTTATTCCAATTTTCCCACTTGTTTACCAATTCCTAAGTTCATCATTTCTTTTGACTTTCTTCGGAGATCATACTCCTCTTTTCTGAGTAACAGTCTTTAGAAGCATTTTTAGTGCTCAACTCTTTTTGGTCCACTCTCTCCATTTTTTTGTATGAAAATGTTTTTATATTCTATATCTTTATTAGATTCTTATTTTAAATATAAACCTTTCATGATAATTAAAATTATAGTACAAGGAACACCCATTATTTTTCTTGTCATTTTGCTTTATCTCCAGGTGGACAAGTTTCAGGAGTCTGAACCAGGATTAAACTGATAAATGACTGAGAAAAACTATAGGTTGTTGAAAGGGTCCAAAGCCATGTTTTAATATTACTTTACAAATGTGAACACCTATTTAACATGGTGAGAACAGGTTTTAATCTGTTTCTTAGACTCACACATATTAGAGGTCAGTCTTCTATGAAATCTTCTTCATTTAGGAAATGAATCCATGGCTCTCATATTACTTTTGATGTATTGGTTTCTTATCAAGAAAATAGAACTATTTGCAAAGCAATAAACCCTGATGTGAATGTTTGCCTGAAAATCTAATTTTGAAAAAGGAGGGTACATGAAATGCCAAAGCCTTTTTTTTTTCTTTGAAGAAATCACAAAGATTCTCCTTCTTTTCTTTGTCCTCCTCTTAGTCCTTTCTAGATTTTTGGTAGCCATGACACAAGGAAACAGCACTGAAGTGACTGAATTTTTTCTGCTCGGATTTGGTGCCCAGCACAGATTTCGGTATTCCCTCTTCATTGTATTTCTGGTCATCTATGTTACCTCCATGGTGGGCAATATCGGAATGATTCTGCTCATCAAGACAGATTCCAGACTTCGAACACCTATGTACTTCTTCCTACAACATTTAGCTTTTGTTGATATCTGCTATACCTCTGCTATTACTCCCAAGATGCTACAAAACTTTATAGTAGAAAATATATCAATATCATTCAGAGGCTGTGTTACACAATTACTGGTTTATGCAACATTTGCAACCAGTGATTGTTACCTTCTGGCAGCTATGGCTGTGGACCGTTATGTAGCCATCTGTAACCCACTTCATTATCCCACTGTCATGTCCCAAAGAGCCTGCATCCACCTGGTAGCTGGTTCATACATCATTGGCTCCATAAATGCTTCTGTGCACACAGGCTTTACATTTTCACTGTCCTTCTGCAGTTCCAACACCATCAATCATTTCTTTTGTGATGTTCCACCAATTCTCGCTCTTTCATGCTCCAATACTGACACCAACATTATGCTGCTTGCTGTCTTTGTGGGATTTAACTTGATGTTCACTGTGCTGGTTGTCATCTTTTCCTACACTTATATCATAGCCACCATCCTAAAGATGTCTTCTACCACGGGGAGGAAAAAAGCCTTCTCTACATGTGCCTCCCACCTCACAGCAGTCACCATCTTCTATGGAACCCTGTCATATATGTACCTACAACCTCATCCTGACAATTTCCAGGAGAATATGAAAGTAGCTTCTGTCTGTTATGGTGTTGTGATTCCCATGTTGAACCCCCTGATCTACAGTTTGAGGAATAAGGAAGTAAAGGAAGCTCTAAAAGTTATGGGGAAAAGGTTCTAGATTGGACCCAAACTGTTCAAATTCAGCACATCAAGATATCCAGCAGAGATGTTTGATCACTGTACAATGTTTCTGAAATTGAAAACACATTTACATTTTAAAGCAAGGCTATCTCTTTTAATAGATAGGTGCTTAGAATGTGAGAAATATAGAAACATCTCATGGGACTAATTTTCCTTTGAGTATAATTTGAGAAACATAACTCACACTACCCATGAAGAAGGGTTTTATTGAAATTATTTAAAATATTAAGATCTATGCATGCACTTTACAAAGCACTTAAATGTTTTAAATATTTTAGCTATGTTCTCAAAGACAGGAAAACTCCAGTTTTGTAAATAATTAATGTTAAAACTGAAGTTCATTATTTTCCATTCCTTTTAACAAGTTCCCTAAATTGTTTACAAAGCAGCTCCTCGTATGTTCTGTTTCAATTACTGCATAAACCTAAATATAAAACAAACTTATTTGAAAAGCACCTTATGACTCAGGCTATTACGCTTTCTACTTAAAATTCCCCTACTCATTACATTCTCTAGCACTTAAAAACACAACTCTTGTGTGATGTTATCATGTATTTTGACATTAGTTACCCTCTTTAATCTGAATTCATCTCTTTCTTACATAAAATAAGAAAACTTCTGGAAACATTTTATAGCCCTGTCTCCACTAGAGATAGAGAATCTAGAATGTAGATATATTTAAAAACCAAAACAACAGTCATTCATTTATGAAAGAAATATGAATCATTTTAGTCTAGGCAAATGACTTTAAATTATAGGAACTCAATGAGAAGTTGAAGGGAGGCAAAGAGCCCATTGAATCAGGCTGTTGACAGAAGACCTTTAGTAGATAAACTGAAGATAGAAACCCTCCCATGACTCTGGAGATGCCATGCTAACTAGATGAAAGAGCAACTTTCACACCCAATAACACCAACCAGTCTAATGAACTGGCCAGAAAAATGTACAGTTAGGTAACAGCACAGGGGAATTGGACAAAAGAAGAAGGTATATTTTTCTTTTTTTGTATTAATTTTATTTTTATTTAATTATTTTTCAACTACAGCATTCTGCCTCTTACTCCTATCCTACTTAAATTCTAACAGAAGAGAAAAAATGAACCTGAAGTCAGTGTAAGATGACCAGAATCTCCCCAACAAAGACTCTGCCCTTATGAAGGAAGTGATCTACTATCCAAGGCAGGTCCAAATATCTCAAAAGCCAGGCCCAAGGCCAATAGCTGGATGGTCATCAGAAAGTAGACAGAGGCTGTCCTGAGGCCCTGGAGGGAAAAGTTGGAGACCCATGTGAAGCATTGTGACTATAGTTAAAATACTATACCATGTTTCCTCAAAGTGTGCAGTTCGTTAAACTTTTTGAAGGGGATTATCCCACACAGCAGAGAAAAAGTTGGAAGAGTGAGATCTAGAAGAACAAAAGCAAAGAAAAAATGGATAACTTAGCTGGCTCATCCCCTGAGACCCACAACTCAAGCTCACAGGCGACTTTGATAAACTATGTAGAATGTCCTATGGAATTGTTCCTCTGAAGGACAAGATATTATGCTGAGCTATTCCCAAGGCAGAGAAACAGAGATAACATCGAAAACCTGCCACTTGCAGCCCAGACCATGCTGCCCACCACAGATGCACAGAAACCAAGTAGCTGAGGAGTGTGGGGCAACACCCAGACGTTTCTGCCACTCCACACAACACAGTTCTAGCCAGTGAGATGTGAGTAGAAGTCCGCTGGGTTGGAGGAGAGCTTTTGTTTTCCTGATCGAGAGTATATGTGTGGTTGTCACCCTACCCTCCTGGATCCCTTCTCCTGCCTTGACAGACAAAGTGACACTGAGCAGCACAGTAGACAGACTGTGAGACAACTAGCACATGGGAAAGACTAAGCGAATCACAAAAGTGTGAGTCTTAATTTCCAAAGATTATTGTGATGGAAAAAAATAAGCCAAAGTTGGGTTTTCTTCCACTAGTAGTAAAACCCATTCCTAACTGAGACATTGGAGAGGCAGCAAGTAACGTTGACTGTCAATTCACCAGCATTCTGACAACGTCTCCTTCATGAACATGTTGGTTAATCAAAGAGCTACAGACTTAACCTGGCTTTCTCCTCCCACTGATGAAATTAAAGCTTTAACCTTAACAGCTTTATAGCCAAATAACTCAAAGTCTCTTATTCCACAAATTGTTATCCAAAATATGAGGTCTGTCCAGGAAGTATCCAGCCACATACTAGGAAAAACAGAGACTTTTACTGAAGAAGATACGAGAAACATTGTACATAAGACAATGACACCTGAGTCCCCTTCAAAGTAGGCACCTTAGGACCTCACACAGTTCTCCCAATTTCCATTAGCTGTCCCCGTGTATTTTCCTAGAATCAATGGTTTGAAATCTTTTCCCTTTCAAAGGTGATTTTAGTTTGGGGAAAAGCCAGAAGTTGCAGGGTGCCAAACCTGGTCTGTAAGGAAGCTGAGTCACCTGGGTGATTTGATGTTTTGCAAAAAAACTCTGCATGAAATGTAATATATGAGCAGGTACATTGTCATGGTGAAGCTGCCCATCACTCACTGCATCGTCCCAAAAAGCCATCTGAATCATCTTAATAGTTTCCATGGAGGAGTATTCAAGATTAACAACAAATTTGATGCAGATTTGTTGCCCTACTCACTCAGTCATTTTGAATGCAGCAACCACACTGTACAATGCTCACTCAAAGGCATCTACTGCCCCCACCAAATAATAAAGTTGTCATTGTTTTTGCAAGAACACTCCAGTCTATACCCCTTGGCTGCCAGGTTTCATCAATGTTGCTCAAACCTTTCTCTTTATGTTAAAAATGGCTGCACAGACAGACCTTGGTATTCTGACAGTGTAAGGTGCAACTGGAAGAAAGTTATCTTAATCCAGAGCTGATTTTAAAAATATATATTTTTAGAAAAAAAAGAGAATCAAAAGTGATTTTTTCTTTAAATAAATAAACAATGGTTAAAGTAATAACATAAAATATGCTTAAATGGTAGTAACTTTGTCACAGTAGGGACCATATGCCCTTAAATTTAGATTAGCTTTGAATTTATTGATTTACTTATTTTTAGAGAGCCATGCTGTTTGCTGATTATGGTGCTTAAGTCAATTTTATAGACCTAACACAGATTCTTAGATGCTCAACCTAATTCAAAACAAGAAAAAATTTTAAAGGAGTTGTTCTTTAAGAAGGCATCACACACAGAGTCCCTCATGACAGTAACATAAATTAAATGTATCCTCTATAGAAAGCTTAAATGTTCTTCAGCAGAAAATAACTACTGAACATTGTTTATTCTAATTCCATCTCAGCCCCAGGAACCTCAGGTTCTCAAGGGAGCAAGTATTGATCCCTCAGGCCCCAGCTATAAACTCCCCAATTAGGAAGGAACCACACAGAGAGACCTTGGTGGGCAGTCAGCCTGCACCAGTTTGCAGAAAGAGAATCTGGAGGCAACTCTGGTGTAAGTAGAGCAAAGTCAACCCCATTTCTCAAACAGCCATATGTCATCCCAGAACACACAGAAAATTGGGGAGCAACAGAGTCAGAGCCAAAGATTTAGCAAGTTGCACCCCAAGAGCAGGAATCATCACTTCATCCCTGGTGACATAAAGGAAATGGAGTGAGGGGACTAAATTGGCTAAGTGCAGTCTGGAGAAGGTATGAATAAATACCTGATTGAAAAACTGAATGGATGTATATATGGATGGATGGATGGATGGATGGATGGATGGATGGATGGATGGATATTATGTGCCTTTAGATGTATCATTTGCATGTGTTATTGTAACTAATTTTGAGTGCAGATTCAATGCCTGGTCCTGTGCCAAGAAGTTTACATAAATCACCTCACTTTGTCATATCATTACAAAGCAGATTTTACTTCATCTTCATTCTTTTTAAAACAATTAAGCTATTTTAAAAGAAAAGGTGAAGAAGTTTATAAGTTAAGGCAGTCTCTCTCCACTACCTTGCCCAAGGATAACCACTAAAAGTTTAGTGTGGCCCTGGCTGGTGTAGCTCAGTGGATTGAGTGCTGGCCTGTGAACCAGAAGACCATGGTTCGATTCCCAGTCAGGGCACATGCCTGAGTTGCAGGCCAGTTCCCAGCAGGGGACACATGAGAGGCAACCATACATTGATATTTCTCTCCCTCTCTCCTTCCCTTCCCCTCTAAAGATAAATAAATAAAATCTTTTAAAAAGAAGAGTCAAGAAAAAAATAGTTTAGTGTGAATCCTTCCTGAGCTTTACATGAGTAAATAAAGAAAATAAGAAAAAGAGAGTATGGGAGTGAAAGAAAGTTTTATTTTTAAAGGGGTCCACATTTTATGTGTCATTCTCCAATTTGCTTGGCTCATTCGACAATATGACATGAGCACCTTTCCAGAAGAGTATATATTTACCTCATTCTTTTTGGAGTATGTATTCAATAATAAGAACCTATTCTGATTTATTTAACTCTCTTTACAAAGTTTTGGCATTGCAAACAGTGTTACAATGACAATCATTACCTCCTAAGTAAATCTGTGGTCCCATTTTACAGCGGTTGGAACTGAGGCCAAAGGGACGTACGTCCTTTGTCTCCATGAAGGGATGGGACTGGAATTCAGACCCAGGTCAGCCTGTTTCCTTTCCGCTGCACCGTGCTCAATATAAATAAAACTTCAGAAGCACCAGAGTTCAGTCAAAGTCCAGAATGCTCAAAATACTTGGGCACTTGACACACATGCTTCTGTGTGTGTGAGAGAGATGTCTCTTGTAAGGGTTTTCCATAGCTTTTGAAAAAGGTCCCCCATTGGGGATAGTAATGGATGGAGACTTGACTTGGGGTAGTGAACACACAATACAGTGTACAGATGATGCACTGTGGAATTGTGCACCTGGAACTTACATGATTTTGTTAACTAGTGTCACCCCAATAAATTAAATTAAAAGGAAATAATTAATTTATCGA